TTCAGGATGTCTGCCACCTGGTGTAACGAAATTCCCGGTATATTGGTAACGGGGTATTAGGCAGTTGTTACAACATAAGTACCAGCCGTGGTACGTAACACGGTGATAAATTATCGTGTCTACGTTCGTTGAATCGAATGCGTTGCGCGTCGACGGTAACGATAAAACTCGCGCACGAATCCCCCGAAGATAATGGTGTTTCCATTCCCACGTAACAAGATGATTAACATTTCATTCGAGAGAATACACGGTCGCGTTTGAGTCACGGTTCAATCCGTGCAATGTATTCGATGGTACGCATCCCCTGGACGTGCAGCTTGTTTTCGCGGTGCTTTATCGAGGAACGCGATAAATTAGTTATTACTGTGCTTATCTCTATTCATAGGTGAACTTTCCGCGTGCACCTGAAGTAACATGCAATTTTACGTATCTGTACGCCGACGAATGTAACTAACAAAGAGCAAATAATCGGAAGGGTCATTGCGACAACGCGATAAAACGTCGGTGATAACCGAGAGGGTAACACGGGTCTGTAGACAAAAGCATTTTGACAAATTTATATGCTAATCCCGTGTGGTTGACGAGTCCGAGATTAACTTTGTACTCCAGTTAGCAGTTGCCAGCCACGATTCTATTTTCTCCGACTGCTCAACGAAGTCGGTTGCCACTTCATTTACGGACATGCAGAAATGACGCGAACGTTATTCCGCCGGGTCAAAAGTTCATTGCGGATTGGACAAATTTGATTCGTGGTTTGCCGACCACCGTGCGTAGAATCACCAACAATGAGTCAAAGAAATTTTTTCCCGAAAAGTTTCCTTCGTTCCACCGAGCCAGCTATGCCATTTTGAAACCTCTCGAATTTCGCGATAACTTTCGGAAGATCGAATCCATTAAATCGACACAGTTAAATTACTATAGGAACAAAACCTCAATATGGTACTTTTCATGAATTTCACAATGTTTCTCTACACACTCGATGTACGAAACTCTTTCGTTCAGTTGATGAGTCTACCTATGGACACGCGCCTGAAGACGTCTATGTATTATCTTGAGAGGGTGAAAGTTGAAGACTCGAACTAGTTATAAAGTTTGAAAATACGTTTCTGAATACGAACAAAGGCTTAAGATTCAACGAAACGGAATCTTGCAAGAGAAATTTCGAGGGAGACCGATGTTGAGACTGCTACGTTAAATTCGTATCCAGCGAGAGTGTATCCTTATTTCTGCTAGCTTGCAGAAGAAGTTCTTAGACAGCGAAAATTAAGGTCAACGAGGAAAATGTCGTGGCCCCGTGTACACCATCGGTGTTTGAGAAGTTTTATTGTTATCTGAAAGTCTCTTGTTACCGAGTCGAAGGGAAAAGATTCCGTAGGTTCATCCGGTGAAAATCACTTTCCACCCTTATTCTGAAACCCAAATTTTTGTATTCTTCCGAAAATCCTAGTTGCTACTTGAATCGATTCGAACGATACCTATTCCAACCTCGTTTTATTTAATCGAAGAATATTTTGTTTTAAAACTTGAGCCGCAATTCCGATAACACGATACCGCAACGTTCAATTATTTTATAAACAATTCTACGCGCGTTTTAACCAGCTTGAAAACAATGATTCGTTCCGGGTGAATGAAATATCCGCGGAACGTATGGATCTCACACTGATGACTGTAAATTTCATTTTTTCCATAGCTATCTTTTTTACTTTTTTTTTATTATTCGTTCTGCCGTGGATACCGCAGTTGGATTGTTAACAATAACGCGATGAAATATTAACTTTCACGACGGGTAAACACTTGGCGTGTTACTCGCGGAATATTAATTTGGTAAAAAAACACGGAAATACACAACGATAGCCTCCGTGCGGTCGCGTACATCACGGCAAAGTGAATTGTACAATTTATACGTTTCTCGTCTATTCATTTCCATTTTTATCGGGTCACGCCGAGCGTCCGGTTTCTTCGTCGGGTGCAATTAATGAATGCAGAGGGTGGTTACCGTAAGGCGCCTATAGGAATACTTTATTCATAAGCAGAAATCGGAGCGGTGTTTAAGCGACACTCGGACAAAATAGTGATAGTCACCCACCGATTAATTCATGGTACAGAGTGTACATAAAATCTAGCAAAACTAGTGACATTTTGCAAAGGTACCTATACTTCAAAATGTCAGAATTTCTAGGTACGAAAGTTCCGAAGTTACAAAGATCCCAAAGTTCACACATTTCTAAAATTTAATATTGTAAAGACCCAAAGTTCCACTGTTTGCCTCGTTCATTTGCGAAGGGTGTAAAATCTAGAGAGAACGTAGAACCTAGACTAACAAAAAAATACAGTGTAATGGAACTTTTCAACGATCGAGTATAAAAGAACCATAGGATGTTTTAATTTCAAATTTCCACCCTTAGTCCGTATATAAATGATGCAATTGCCTTCGGTGCAGACGGGTGAAAATAAATTACGTCCCTGGGTGGTATCCACGGTGTACAGGTTGAAACGATCTTGCAAATTTATTTGCACGAAGAAGCGGGAAAGAGTGAGTAGACATTCCCCAGTTTCGAAAAGGCCCGGCAATAAAGGGATCACTCGGGTCAGGTTAAGACGATTTATCGTCTACCAAAGTTTGCCATATTCGATAAAAAAGCCACCGTGTATCTGTCGCTACACACCACCAAGAAGGAAATGCGGACGGATCGGGAGCAGATAAAGTCAATAATTCCTAGCGTCTGACGCGTGGATTATTGCTGGAGTCGCAGAAGAATCGCAAGACCCAGGACTCTAAGGCCATCCATTTGTCAACGATGGTTTACGATTGAACCGTGCCGTTTTGAGTCTTCGAAATTTCCTATTTATTTCGCTCCAAATTCGTCTTTATACTTTTCAAGCTTTTTGCGCTTCTTCATTGTTAATTCGTTGCTTACAGTTTAAATATAATGTACCGAATAAAATTTCACAAATAAAAATTTTGTACTGCAGTTCTTAATAAATTTTTATTAAAGAAAGTTGTCAAATTTATTTTCCTATCATAAGAAATATTATCCATTGTTTTAATTTTAGAAAATTTTCAATATATCAACTTATACAAATTTTTGAAGATTTTTTTCAAGTTATGTTTTAGTCTGCCATCTATTGCACGCTCGTTTCAAAGAAATTCGTTCCACTTTATTCTTAGCAGGAGATACCAGCAGCCAAGAAAGACGATCGATATTTCAGGCTTACCCTCTGTCGGTGGTGTTCCATCGCGGAAAACTCCACAAGCGACCACTGTTGGCTCTTCTTGGACGTCGCTCAGATTTCTCCTCCGCTACAGTAGAATTTGGCAATCGTAGTAACGGCGGGCAAATGACGAAACTGTAACTCAAGCTCGATGAAATCTGAGAATGTAGCTGCAATTTGTGCCCATTTGTTGGATACGAAGGAATTAAATAAATAAATGAATCTCCAATTTTAACATCTACTATTTATTATTAATTACGTGTAAAACGGTTTTAAATCCAAATTTATATGCAGTCGTTTCTATTTAAAAAATCACCATCCGAATTTTGGAGCTGGAATGAAATAGAAAATGGTTCAGAGCTCGAGTATGCTTGAAATTGGTTGAAAACTTTCGAAAGGGTGTTTCGAATATCCAGCAGTACTCGTATCCTCGTTAGCCCCTCGTTTCAACTTTGACCCAATTGCCAAGGATATGTAATACCGTGACCACATTGAATAGCGAAGTAGCTTCCTCGGCAGGCCAGCAGAAATCTTATAAACCTACTCGATGCTATACATAGTAGACTAAGATACGTAATTAATTGTTCGCATTTTGGCTGTAAAAATTTAGTGAAATAAATAAAATGTCAGGTATCCTTGGAATAATCTCCTAACAAACTCTCTCGGGGACATTAACGACGCGTTTTACGTACATCGCGGAGAAAAAGCGACTCGTCGCGCGAGGATAGCCAACGCGGGCTCGGCTCGAGGCTGAAAATAGCCGGGTAGAGCGGCTCGCTCCATTCCGCTCAGAACCGCTCGAGCCTCGATACGACTATCGTCGGAGGGGCCCGACCATCGACGAAGAACAGGAGGATCCAGCCACCCCAAAAAACTGATACGACCCTCCTCGTTCGATCCAACTCGATCATCCAATCGAATTCGAAGCGGGTGTGCAGTGACAAGTTTCTCTTTCCATACGAGGTGAATCTCGAGTCCAATTTTCTTCCTCTTCGTACAGTGAAGTAAAAAAGTGACCGAAAGATCGCGAAGTTCGAAGGTAATGCGGTGTGTGTTACCGGTTGCATTGCGGACACCCGGGAGACCAATCGACCTCGATGCATTTGCATACGATACGTGCATACGCGAGAGTGTGTGTGCGTGTTCCAACGTACGGGCGCGATACGCTCTGCGAGCTTTCGAGAAAGTTTGTGCTTGTTTAACTGCCATACTTTAATTTAATCAAATGATTAGGAAGAGAAACGATCACTCTATCGCTAATTGGAATTGCAAAACGAATCCTTAATCCGGCTAGAAACCCCTCGTGTTATGATTTTATCAACAGTTGTGGACAGTTCACTCGTGCGATGTTCAAACTGATGATAATAATTAAAATGTGTATACTTTTTTACGTTCTCGAGTATAGAAATTATAATTAGAATAAGGTAAAGGGGTAAAGTTCATGGCGAACCCCGTTTAAAAATGATACTCTAATGCCTCTCATAAAAGCTACAGACGAGTAGATCGCGTTAACACGGTGTCAGTCATTTATACAATCAATTTTATGGAAAAGACTACATTTCCATTGGCAATGTAACGATGGAATTTTCAACTGTTGTAACGATGACAGAAGTTTGACCCAAAGTGCAACGTTATATGATCGTACAAATCGATCGAGCAAAGTACATCGTAGACGATTCTCCACGGTAGATTCTGGCAAGTTTGAAGAAATTGCGAAACTTTAGTTTCGAGACGAATACATGGTAGAGCGGCTCGCTCCATTCCGCTCAGAACCGCTCGAGCCTCGATACGACTATCGTCGGAGGGGCCCGACCATCGACGAAGAACAGGAGGATCCAGCCACCCCAAAAAACTGATACGACCCTCCTCGTTCGATCCAACTCGATCATCCAATCGAATTCGAAGCGGGTGTGCAGTGACAAGTTTCTCTTTCCATACGAGGTGAATCTCGAGTCCAATTTTCTTCCTCTTCGTACAGTGAAGTAAAAAAGTGACCGAAAGATCGCGAAGTTCGAAGGTAATGCGGTGTGTGTTACCGGTTGCATTGCGGACACCCGGGAGACCAATCGACCTCGATGCATTTGCATACGATACGTGCATACGCGAGAGTGTGTGTGCGTGTTCCAACGTACGGGCGCGATACGCTCTGCGAGCTTTCGAGAAAGTTTGTGCTTGTTTAACTGCCATACTTTAATTTAATCAAATGATTAGGAAGAGAAACGATCACTCTATCGCTAATTGGAATTGCAAAACGAATCCTTAATCCGGCTAGAAACCCCTCGTGTTATGATTTTATCAACAGTTGTGGACAGTTCACTCGTGCGATGTTCAAACTGATGATAATAATTAAAATGTGTATACTTTTTTACGTTCTCGAGTATAGAAATTATAATTAGAATAAGGTAAAGGGGTAAAGTTCATGGCGAACCCCGTTTAAAAATGATACTCTAATGCCTCTCATAAAAGCTACAGACGAGTAGATCGCGTTAACACGGTGTCAGTCATTTATACAATCAATTTTATGGAAAAGACTACATTTCCATTGGCAATGTAACGATGGAATTTTCAACTGTTGTAACGATGACAGAAGTTTGACCCAAAGTGCAACGTTATATGATCGTACAAATCGATCGAGCAAAGTACATCGTAGACGATTCTCCACGGTAGATTCTGGCAAGTTTGAAGAAATTGCGAAACTTTAGTTTCGAGACGAATACATTGACGCGATTTTGTCCCAATGACAAGATGTATTTTCTCGCTGCGGCCCGTGAGAGTTGTCGGAGGAAATATTTGATCGTTGATCCGTTGCCAGTGGTATATACGGCCAGTCGTCGATACGGCGAGGCTCGAAATCTCGCGGCTCGATCTCGATTCCTGAATCGCGTCGAATCGGGACGATCTTCCGCGATATCCTTAACCTTCGATTAACGCGTTACAGTTTCTAATTCGAGTAGAAGCACGGCCAAGCGCACACGACGACTCCGTCGAGTGGTAAATGCATCTATTTCTGCCCTGTTGCTGGAAATAGATACGAGAATGAAATAGGTCCAGCTCGGCGTGCGTTTGTTCGCGTTCGCGAGCGAGATTTTGTTGTCATCGACGTTATTTAAACGGTTCAGTCCCAGATATCGATCGAAATGAACTACTTATGTTCAGCAGTTTAATTGTTTCCTTACACCAGTTCTCGAACTTAAATTGCGATAAAGAAGTAACTGGTTCACTAACTCGCGCTTTAACGACTTGCATTATTCCGGAAGTAACGTGGGAGATGACCGGCTGCTCCGAACTATTTTTACTTGAACCCATCAAACGGTGGATTTACATCTAAATATACGGGTTTCCTCGGGGCTTAATTGACGCACGTTCACGCATCGCGACAATCGTTACGGAAATAGGAAAACCGATAAACGATTCACGGTATTGCAGTTAACGTTATCGTTCATTTTCTGCTTAATTAATTTGTTCGCCCGCATAGCGGATTTTTGTGCGGGATGAATCAGATGTATCAACGGCCCAACATTTTAAACTAAATATAATTGCGGAATGTTCGAATTGCCTTGAGAAAACTCGAAAGCACGCGTAGCTATTCTATTTTCATTACTATAGCGATGACCCGCTAATATTTCATTTCCTTCAATCTTTTATTCGAAAGTTGTTAAGTGCTTCAAAGTTCTGCAAGAATTAGTTCGAGTAACTTCGCGTGCTTCTACTTTCAAACGTAATAACAACGTAACAGCGATGTACACATCGTGCGGGCATATTTAATCGAACTAAAAATATACGATGAATCGAAAATCTTGACTGAGTCACATATGCTGTATCGTTTATGAAAACGTTCCCCCAATTTCGATGCTACTACTTCATTCTACAAAACCATTGATCTTGCGACTTCACCCTAACCCAGATTCTCCGAGATTCTGCCATTATTTCGTGCAATTCGAAGCGTTCAAACAATCGGGAGTATTTAATCTTCCAGCGTTGCGAAAAATAAAAGCAGCACGAAAAGCTCGCTAACAAATACGTTCCAATGTAACGCTGATACATTTCCTAACTTTTTCTGTCTCAAACCCATCGATTTCCTTGAGATTTCTCTCTACCCCAGAATTTCCAGAATCTCAATCCCGTAGAATACAATCCGCCACCGGAATCCCTTAATTGCTAACACCGCAAGAAAAACGATGCGAAGTTGTATGTTCCGCGTTAATGCGATCCAGAATTTGACATTGCTACCCCATTCTCCAACACTTTATTTCCCAAATCCATCAATTTGCGAGAGATGCTGGTTCTTGTGTAAATACGCCCATCCAAAGTGTAACGTCTCTGTGAAATGACCATTCCCGAAATCCCTAGACTCCGGAACATTCCTGAAGTGCTCCAGAGCATTCATGTAGCTCGTTGGTCGCGCGAGGCAATCGTTTAATTGGCAGTATCGTAAGAAAACACGGTGAAACGAGATGGTTAGAGCAGGGTTAGAGCGTATCGCGTCCGTAACGACGGAATTTCGAGCATGCGGAATTTGATTGAAGTAAAGGAGCGCTTGCGCAGGTGCCGTCGAGGGCGGGAGGCAGCCAGCAGTCAGTAGTAGTGGTTGATCATTGCTGCACCACCGGAGGTTAGGACGTCGTCGGCACCGTGGTCGTCGTCGTCGTTGTTGTGGTCGTGGTCGAAACGTATACCGGGCCAACAGTGTCACCGGAGGGAGAAACATGTCGAACCGTGATCGTGTGTGACTATCGACCCCATTCACTACGAGGCTGGCTAACGCGATAACGAGAGCTGACATCGCGGAGGAAACATTGCAAGAGGGAGGCGGTGAACGGGCTCGTCCAGGTTACGTGAAAACGTACCGACGGGATGGCTGACAGCGAGGGTGGTTCCGAGCAGGATGACGTATCGTTCCTCCGCACGGTGAGTCCCGGTTAAAATCGATCATTTATCGGTGTTCGTTGCACAGTTGGATTCCCTATGATCCAGGAATTACGAGGATTCTTTGCGTACGTACCGGAAATCGCGAGTTCCGTCGTGCGCATACCTGGTCCGTCAAGGATCACGTGGGAGCGTCGAAAAGCGCGGGTCTTTATAAGAAGGAGCACTTTCATAATGAGATGGCCTGCGTTTAGTTCAAGTTTAACGTCATCGAGTAAATCGTTTTTGATCGATAACGAGCGTGTTTACGGTGGATGTAAGGCTCGTAGTCTTGCATAAAATCGCGATTTTCCGTAGCAAAGGACGAGCAACGAGGGGTAGAGGAATTCAATGAATCGTGGAAGCACTTAAAGTTCTCCCGCCGAATGACCTTGACCTCGTTCGCGGCCCGCAAGGATCAAGCGGGTAGCATAGTGACCGAGAGGGTAACTGCAGCCTTGAGCTTCCGTAAGCTGCACGCGCTCGATGCTCGACTCTTTAATACCTGCCCCCTAATAAAAATACATCTATGATGCACGCGGTCCTCTTATCGGAAACGTTTAAAGCCGACACGCGTGTGTCCATCGATTTTTTCCTTTTCTCTTTGCTCTGCCGACGACAGAGCGGCGTATATTTTGTTCCATCGAATACAATTTTCTTTGATGTAGATTTTTAAAAAGGATACAAATGGCACGAGAGCGAGGGACAAAGAATTTTAAGGTCTGATAAATCGATAACAAAAGTTGAGTTGGACGAATTACACGTGTTCGGTCGCGACCTTCGAATTTCTCCTCGTTTTTCTACAGTTTTCAGCTTCGAACGGCCTTCTGGTCACGGTCTTTTTACTTTTCGAGAGTTCACGCTGATTACACTTTCGTTTTACTTTTCTTATCAACCGCGTCTCGCACGTCGTCGTTGTACTCTCCGAGCGAGTCTGATGTATTTCCTTTTGCGGTCCTTGGGTAGCGCGCACCATTTCCTGCCCGCCTCGCGAGCCACTTGCGTTACGCGTTTTCTTCCGGAGCTTCTGAACCACATTTCTAAATAGAATATGAGGAAAGGGTTGCTCGAACGGATCAATCTTCGCCTCCTGCGTTTGGGCTTGCAGATACACTTCGACTTGCGGCGACGTCTCCTCTTCGGGCGAGGTCCGCATCCCCTGATCTTTGATCTGCTCCTCTTCCTCCGGCGAGGCCCGCATCCCCTGATCTTTGATCTCTCGGTCACTTCACCGATCGCGCTGGGGTTAAATTCCTGTTGAGTGTCTTGTTGCTTCAGGTTTCTATAAATAGAACGATCAACGTTGCTACCTTTTCGAAATCCTCTTTGCCACCAGACATTTATATAAGATGTTTAAACTTCCTCGAAGACATTGGCGATTATATATTTTGCACAAACAATAGTATTGCTAATTTTGAACCAAAGAGGGTTTGGAACCTTTTTCTACGTTTGGGATCGTAAAAGTTTCAAGGCCTTCGAGGAAATAACAAACGGGTGAGTTTTTCGCAGGTGGGCGCGGTAAAAAACAGTTATTGCTTGTTACGTGTATAATCCATCACGAAGAGGAACGAGAGGAATTGTTCTCTAATAAAATTATACGATATCGCGTATCTCCGTTCCTCCTCTTGATTAAAAGATGTTAAACCGGCATAAACGACATTCGTGACTCGGAAACATGACGCGGTATCGATCCTCTCTCTAATTTCCTGTTGTTCGATGGAATGCAAAATTAATGGAAAACTGCAGAGAACAAATTTGACGAAACATGTTCGTCGGATATTCCAGCGGGACGATCAGCGTGCCACGAATCGATTATTAGATGGTAATATATCGACCAGTTAATCCGTTGACCCTGTGCACGTGAGGTTAAACTCGACCATACAGAACACGTATTCGATTCCATGTTCGTAAAGTTGTAGAAAAACGTGACTCGATAAACTTCGATCGAAAACAATCTATTAAAGGTAGAACGATCGCTCTCGTTCGCTGCGAGAACATTTCGTTTCCGAATTAGTTTCTAAGAGCTGCACTTATGGGATTACACGAGCCTCACCTGTCTTCCGCCGGATTTTCGTAATTGAACGTTTCTTCCATGTTCAGTGGTTGTGTTTTGATGTTGCGTTTCACTTGAGAATTTGATATTTGTGTAAAACCTAAATTGCTGTAATGGCTGAAAACATTTGAAGCGTTCGTCGACCAGTTCACACGTGAGGATTAATCGATTGGACGTCGATACGAATCTAGCGTTTTCCTGCCCGCCTCGCGAGCCACTTGCGTTACGCGTTTTCTTCCGGAGCTTCTGAACCACATTTCTAAATAGAATATGAGGAAAGGGTTGCTCGAACGGATCAATCTTCGCCTCCTGCGTTTGGGCTTGCAGATACACTTCGACTTGCGGCGACGTCTCCTCTTCGGGCGAGGTCCGCATCCCCTGATCTTTGATCTGCTCCTCTTCCTCCGGCGAGGCCCGCATCCCCTGATCTTTGATCTCTCGGTCACTTCACCGATCGCGCTGGGGTTAAATTCCTGTTGAGTGTCTTGTTGCTTCAGGTTTCTATAAATAGAACGATCAACGTTGCTACCTTTTCGAAATCCTCTTTGCCACCAGACATTTATATAAGATGTTTAAACTTCCTCGAAGACATTGGCGATTATATATTTTGCACAAACAATAGTATTGCTAATTTTGAACCAAAGAGGGTTTGGAACCTTTTTCTACGTTTGGGATCGTAAAAGTTTCAAGGCCTTCGAGGAAATAACAAACGGGTGAGTTTTTCGCAGGTGGGCGCGGTAAAAAACAGTTATTGCTTGTTACGTGTATAATCCATCACGAAGAGGAACGAGAGGAATTGTTCTCTAATAAAATTATACGATATCGCGTATCTCCGTTCCTCCTCTTGATTAAAAGATGTTAAACCGGCATAAACGACATTCGTGACTCGGAAACATGACGCGGTATCGATCCTCTCTCTAATTTCCTGTTGTTCGATGGAATGCAAAATTAATGGAAAACTGCAGAGAACAAATTTGACGAAACATGTTCGTCGGATATTCCAGCGGGACGATCAGCGTGCCACGAATCGATTATTAGATGGTAATATATCGACCAGTTAATCCGTTGACCCTGTGCACGTGAGGTTAAACTCGACCATACAGAACACGTATTCGATTCCATGTTCGTAAAGTTGTAGAAAAACGTGACTCGATAAACTTCGATCGAAAACAATCTATTAAAGGTAGAACGATCGCTCTCGTTCGCTGCGAGAACATTTCGTTTCCGAATTAGTTTCTAAGAGCTGCACTTATGGGATTACACGAGCCTCACCTGTCTTCCGCCGGATTTTCGTAATTGAACGTTTCTTCCATGTTCAGTGGTTGTGTTTTGATGTTGCGTTTCACTTGAGAATTTGATATTTGTGTAAAACCTAAATTGCTGTAATGGCTGAAAACATTTGAAGCGTTCGTCGACCAGTTCACACGTGAGGATTAATCGATTGGACGTCGATACGAATCTAGCGTCACTTCGGATATCTTTTATGAATTTATAATTTGTATTTATAATAGCATGCTATTGCTGCTCCTCTATGAAGAATCATCTAAAATAATTTCCCAATTTTAAATAGTTCTTGTCGATTTAAGAGTTCTCGCATTAAACGCACGAGCACGTGTAATTTTTGCCGTGAAGCGGCAAAGATGTTCGAGGGTAGAAACGTAGACACCTCGAGGCAGACTAGGAGAATTGTGTCGGTGGTTCGCTGCTCTGTAATGATCATTAATTAAGTCAACAACCGTTGGCATCGTACGGCGCCACTCAAAATTATCGTCCACTTTCGTGTAGCGCTTGCACTCGTTTCTTTCGAGCAGCGAGCATTACGACAGCGGTAATTAAAATTACAATTAATTGCTCGTTCAAATCATCCGTACCTTTTTTTACCGTACCGTGTTGCTTCCCGTCGTTCTTCTTTAATGAGCGTGATGGCGGTTAATTTTAGCGATCGACGTTGCATTGTCCCATATGATCAATACTAGTACATATAGGTACCGCTCTTCATTAAAGATTTCATATTGAAAAGCAGACGTTTGAGTGAACAACGTTCGAGTGTTCGAATGCAAAGAAAGCGCCATTAACGTTGCGAAACGATTGACAGGGATTTCATATAAAAGCCTGTAATTGTCAACGCGAGGTGCTTGAGAAGCGTTAAGCTTTCAGAATTAACGGTAGCGTATCGTTGCTAAAAGATTAACGTTACTAATGCATACGAGTACTTGTGTATTCCGAAATTCCGAGATTCCTGTATATCTAGAGCTTCAAATTCCATTATACAAGCTATTACAGATTGAGCTTTGGCAATCGGCGTCATTGAGACAGTCGATGGAATGCAATGCATGCGACAGTTGCGGCGAAAGTAAATGTATAGAATAGCAGCTTAGGGTTCGATTGATTAATCTGTTACAAGTGACGACAGAATGTCACTCAACAAAATCCATTTATAAAACCAAGCAACAAATAATCAACGATTGATACACAAGATATCATTTTATTTTACGCGAGCAAATATTGCGAGATATAAATAATGAAAAAATGTTTCGGGTCAAAGTTGTGCATCTCGTTCGTTTGACCTTGTGACGACCTTCATTGTTACAATATTTTAGTATTGTCAGCAAATATTGAGGACACTGAAATATTGACAGTGCAGCGAGGTCTCCGTGACACGAACAATATGGCGCATACAAATTTTAGTAACCGGAAATCGAGCTCGAACATTTCAAGGTTCGAAATAGTTGAAGCTTTTCTAGAAATTTTGGCGTGTCGAAAACGGCACACAGATGAGTTTCGCGTGCGTTTCCGTCTAACCCGGTAACATGTTATGCTAATTTGCCCTCGTACGGTGCGCTACTTATGCGTCACGCGTGTGGTCGAAAAGGAACGCATGCAACGTTTATCCACGCGAAAAGTATGCAAACGTAATAGAACGGAACGGTCGTTTCGCGGTGGCGGTGTGAATTGTAAATGATGAAAAATGACACGGAATTTTGAGCGATACGCAACACGACAGCTACCAACGATAGAAATAACCTTGTTACGCTACTCCGTTCACCATCGATTCTTATCACGCTCGTGATCGTGTAATCGCGTTAACCCCTTGTTAGTGATTATATCTGCGACGCGACGAAATAGACGCTTTTAGAATAATTCAACTATAATTTACCGGATATCTCTATCTTCGAATATTTACTCTTCTCCTGTTCTTTGTGCAAAGATTGATCGAGCGATTAACTAGTAGCAAGGAATTAATCTTCTATGCAAAAGATATGCAGAGAATTTATAAAGCAATGTTTCCGATTAAATAAAAATGACCCTGTTAAAGATATTATTTTGAAAATCGCGTGATGCCTCGAGAGAAACGTGACTCATCCATGGCCAAAGTTTTAAACTGGTGTCTCTTAAGTAACATCCAAGATGTGCGTAGTAAAAACAATAGCGAAACGTTGAAAAGCGTTTCCCGGTATGTTTGCGGGAACATGGTTCATGCATTCCTGGTGCGGTCCAAATCGGTTCTGGCAGCGTGTGTAGCATCTGCTGTTTGGCACACGTACTTCAACGTTTCGCAAGGATCCTCGTACTTCCAACGTATCAATGAATCGTTTTTTCAACGAAACGCCCATCGACCTCTTTCCATCAGTCTTAATCCTTCATTAATGATAATTATGCTTATCGAAATTAAAATTACAGGAGGACATGGTGTGTCTCTCCTGCACCGCAACTGGTGAAAGAGTTTGCCTCGCGGCTGAAGGTTTTGGTAATCGACACTGCTTTCTCGAAAACATCGCAGATAAGGTAATTCAAAGAAATATTAGCGATTTAATCCTTCGTGATATGGGTCACTGCTGGCACAAGTAATTGTAGTGCTAAATCTTTCTCGGCTTTTTTGAAATGTTTAACGGCTGACCCAGTTCGGAGGGTTAAGTGCCACTTTAAATCAATCCAAATTTCCACTGAAGTTAATTTTATGCAGGGGTAGACTCTCCTTATAGTTCAAATTTTCATGTACGTTTTTATACCGAATTATCGTGGGTTCCAAGAATATTACAAGAGCTCTTATAACTGCATGGTAAATCGCCACGTGTTGAATATCTACATATTATATCAGCATAACTTCCACGAGTTCATCTGAGGCGCTTTGAATTTCATGCATTGAATTGTCACGCCTTGCAGTGCTTCCACCATCATGGAAATCCGCGAAAATCGATGTAATATCAATCTTGGTCAATTGTTAATTTGTACACACTCTGACACTATAATGAAAGTCTACTTCACTATAAAATCCTTATAAAAGTTTGTGTGCCTCCTATGGATCTTGTGGCACTTTATAAAACTAACAAATAAGGTTACAAAGTTGACCAGAAGAAACGATTTTAATTCTGAACTTTTGCTCGCGGTTGCAGAATATTCCACCGGATCTGTCGCAATGCGTATTCGTAATAGAACAAGCTCTCTCGGTGAGAGCTTTACAAGAGTTGGTTACTGCTGCTGGTTCCGAGACGGTAACGTACCACCCCTTTATTAATTTACATCGTACAAAATATTTTCATCGAACTCCACATCGGTAAAGAAAAGCTTCGTGAAACATAATCATTTTAAAATCATTTTATCGAAACAATCGATGCTGCTTTTTTCCTGTGCAGACGTTCTCGTCTTTGTATTTTTCTCTCCGTTAACAAAAAAGACATGAACCACTTCCATTTTTTAACGCGTAATCAGACTCTCCTCCTCTGCATCGTGCGTGAATCGATCGTTCGACTGCATAGGAGTGGGCCATAAAATTTGTCTGTTTTCGTGTATCGAATGCAAAAGGCTGTCGTCTTTTTTTCTCTGTACATACAAACGTGTATCCACTAAAACCGAACGATGCACTTAGAAAGTAGACTCGCGGTTTTTGACCTGGTCTGCTCCTGACCAGATCACGTTTTTTTCTAGCAGAAAAGTCGAAAGAAAGGAAGAATTTTCTGAATGCATCCGCACGTACCCTTGTCCAAATAATTGTGGCATGCGTCCATGTAGTCGCGTAACAAAATCAGCGAATTGTCTTCTCGTTTATTCGTATTGTTTTCGTCCCCTTATGTTGTCCGATTTTTGTTCTCTTTTTGGTTGCGCATTGACGCGTCGCAATCGAAACATCGCAAACCGAAAAATCATCTAATCGAATCACACTTGACCTATCCTCGAAAGACATCGAAGTGTTTCGTCACTTTACTATCATTCTCTCTTGTCTCTCTACTCTACATTCGTGTTTCGCTAGAAGAAGATTTACAACTCTTATGTTTCTGTTTGCAGCAGCAAGAAACTGTAGTAAGTATACCTTGTTATCACTTCAGGACACTGTTTATATTCAAGCTTTTGAGGGTAACGTCGTTTGTTTTCCATTCTTTGCTTCTTTACCACGTTTCTGTTATGTTGCGCTTTTCACCCTAACTCATTTTGCATCGTTTGAAGTCGCGATTTCGAAACACTTTTCTTTGCGCAAATATTGCTCTAAGTAGTCTCGTCTCGGAAGGTAAATTGTTATAATTGCCTACGGTCTAAGTTTAGCTAGCCTTGACTACGAGGGGATACAGGCGCTTCCGTGATAATGACCTGGCAAAATAAATGGATAAATCCGCTTCTGATGCAAATGGGTTAACACTGACACACACACTTTCGCTTGTATTTGTATGACATCACGACTGCATTTACGGCTGCGTTTCTTTTACGTTCACATTCGATTAATCCTTCTGTGGGCAACTTGCAACTGAAACTGTGACGACTTTAATTTAACAAAGAGCTCTTCCTGGATTTTTCATTCAGGATTCTTCACAATTTTATCTACGAATCTAGTTGCCCACAAAAGGCTAACAAGTAACCGTTCGTTAATCTTTCTGAACATACAGGCATGTAATACACATTTATTGTTGCTATGTTGCAATCGTTGTTTATGGCCTCCTCTTATCAGTATGCTTGTTCACTTGTTCTTTTCTTTTCGTTTTTTCATTTATCTTTTAGAAGTACGTCAGGCGAAACATATTCCCCCCACAGTTTGTCTTTAATAGTTGTCGCAATTTTAGGGAAAAGGTACAGGATCCGGACACAGAACGTTACTTTACGGTAACGCTATTCTGTTGAGGCATCAGAACAGCGATATGGTAAGTCATCGAACGTCCACGTTTTTACATGCTTAAATAATGCTTGCACTTCCCCGCAGTATTTGGCGTGTTTATCGACCAGCTCATCCAACGACAAGTTGGCTTTCGACGTGGGTCTGCAACAGCATTCTCAAGGTTTGACGATGAGATACAATTTAATTAGAACTAATACCCGAATGGATATGATCATCTCACGTGTTCGATGAATGTGTTAGGGGAGGCTTGCTGGTGGACGGTTCATCCTGCATCGAAACAGAGATCAGAGGGTGAGAAGGTTCGAGTCGGTGACGATCTTATCTTGGTATCTGTAGCCACTGAAAGATACTTGGTAAGCAGGATCGATAAAAATAATAACGATAAAATACCTTGCGTAATCGATTCTCTTCCAGCACACCACGAAAGAAAACGACTTGTCGGTAGTGAACGCCTCGTTTCACGTAACACACTGGTCAGTGCAACCCTACGGTACTGGAATTAGTCGAATGAAATACGTCGGTTATGTATTCGGCGGTGATGTACTGCGATTTTTCCACGGTGGCGACGAATGCCTCACTATACCGTCCACGTGGAGCACGGCGCCAAGTCAAAAGTAAATTTCGTATTTTAATCTTCCCAAAATCTAGCTAACTTTTCGATGATACACCGCGTGGTTGTTTTCATTGCTCATCGAGATAATCGTTCTTACCGATAATTCGATTATGGGCTAGAGTAACTCGACAGGGCTTCAGGCATTTAATACGCTACTTACAGTATAGTGATCTACGAGGGTGGCAGCGTAATGAGTCAGGCGCGATCATTATGGAGACTGGAATTAGCTAGGACAAAATGGGCAGGCGGATTTATCAACTGGCTGCACCCGATGAGGATCAGACACTTGACCACGGGACGTTACCTTGGCGTGAAAGAGAACAATGAACTGTACCTGGTCGATAGGTAAGCACTGGTTAATAGAAAAGTTCAAAGGTCAAATCGTGACGTACAAATTCGTTTGCTGCCCGAAGGAACGAGGCAACGATCGAGACGTCAACGTTCTGGCTACGACAAGAGAAAGATGACCAGAAAATCGTTCTCGAAGACAAGGACCTCGAAGTTATCGGTATGCCAATTATCAAGTACGGTGACTCTACCGTCATCATGCAACATGCGACTACTTGTCTCTGGGTCTCGTACAAGGTAATCTTTTCATTTTGGAATATCTTCAAAGGTTGTCAAGTCGATATTAAATTTTAATAATCTTGATGCAGTCGTACGAAACGAAGAAGAAGGGCGTAGGTAAAGTAGAAGAGAAACAAGCGGTCCTGCACGAGGAAGGTAAAATGGACGACGGTTTGGACTTCTCCCGCTCGCAAGAGGAAGAATCCCGCACAGCTCGCGTGATTCGAAAGTGTAGCAGTTTGTTCACCCAATTCATCACGTGAGTGTCTATCGATCATTCCTGACGGATTCGTTCACATTAAAACATGAAATTAAAAATGGTAGAGGCTTGGATGGAACCGTACAGAGCCGTTACAAACCGAATGATAAATTAACGTGGACAAGCAGATCGTTAAAAGGACCGAATATGTTTTAGAGGCCTAGAGACGCTGCAAGTAGATAGAAGAGCGTCTATGTTCTTCCAAAATGTGAATCTGAACGAAATGGTGATGTGTCTGGAAGACTTGATTAATTATTTTGCTCAGCCTGAAGACGACATGGGTAAGTAGACATCTTAACGAATTTAATTACGATTTAAAGGAGGAATACTGAAGGGCTGATGCGTTACAGAACACGAGGAGAAACAAAATAGATTCCGAGCTCTGAGAAATCGTCAGGATCTGTTCCAAGAGGAAGGCATACTGAATCTGATCCTGGAGGCCATCGACAAGATTAACGTCATCACGTCGCAGGGATTTCTGGTGGCACTTTCGGGGGACGAGAGCGGCCAAGCGTGGGACCAAATTTCCGGATACTTGTATCAATTACTGGCAGCCATCATTAAAGGAAACCATACCAACTGCGCGCAATTCGCTAACAGCAATCGGCTGAATTGGCTGTTCAGTCGATTGGGTTCGCAAGCTTCCAGCGAAGGCACCGGAATGTTGGATGTACTTCATTGCGTGCTCATCGATTCTCCCGAAGCTTTAAACATGATGAGAGTAAGTGCAAACTTGATCAAAATACCAGACTCTCGTGGAACCGTTATCGAGATGCTTTCTCTTTATAGGACGAACACATTAAAGTCATAATTTCGTTGCTGGAAAAACACGGGAGGGACCCGAAAGTGTTGGACGTTCTCTGCTCCCTCTGCGTGGGTAACGGCGTGGCGGTTCGTTCTTCCCAGAACAACATCTGCGACTTCCTGTTGCCTGGCAAGAACCTTCTACTTCAGACGCAGCTGGTCGACCATGTTGCAAGTGTCAGGCCGAACATATTCGTCGGTAGAGTCGAAGGTTCCGCGCTTTATCAGAAGTGGTACTTCGAAGTCACCGTCGACCACATCGAGCAAACGACTCACATGATGCCTCACTTGAGGATCGGTTGGGCGAACACTGCAGGGTACGTTGATCTTCGCTTCTCTTTCCGAACAAATAATTACAATTTACCTTTATCTAATAGATACATGCCGTACCCTGGTGGTGGTGAGAAATGGGGAGGTAACGGTGTTGGCGACGACCTCTACTCGTTCGGTTTCGACGGTGCATTTTTGTGGACAGGTGGCAGGAAGACCCAAGTGGTCCACAATGCCACGGAACCGTACATCAGGAAGAGCGACGTGATCGGCTGCGCGTTGGACCTGACAGTACCCATCATAACGTTCACATTCAACGGTGCACCCATCATGGGATCCTTCAGGAACTTTAATCTGGACGGCATGTTTTTTCCCGCGATCAGCTGTTCTTCCAAACTGTCCTGCAGATTCCTCCTAGGCGGCGATCACGGTCGCCTCAAGTTCCAACCACCCGAAGAATTCTCGCCCTTGGTGGAGAGTTTGTTGCCTCATCAGATTCTGTCCCTGGATCCGTGCTTCTACTTCGGAAACATGAACAAAGTGGTCCTGGCGGGACCATGGCTGGTCGAAGACGACACCGCTTTCGTTCCTGCGCCAGTCGACACGTCCATGATCAATCTACCGTCCTACGTCGAGCAAATTCGAGACAAACTAGCCGAGAACATTCACGAGATGTGGGCAATGAACAAGATCGAGGCTGGCTGGATCTACGGCGAACACAGAGACGATCTGAGAAAGATCCATCCGTGTATTGTTCAGTTCGAGCGACTGCCAGCTGCGGAGAAACGTTACGACACGCAACTGGCGGTGCAGACGTTGAAGACTATTTTGGCTCTCGGTTATTACATCACCATGGACAAACCACCGTCTAGGATCAAGACCTTGAGGTTGCCCAACGAACCGTTTCTGCAGAGCAGCGGATACAAACCGGCGCCACTCGATCTCAGCGCCATCACGCTTACCCCGAAGATGGAGGAACTGGTAGACCAACTGGCGGAGAACACCCATAACTTGTGGGCCAAGGAGAGGATCAGCCAGGGCTGGACTTATGGATTGAACGAGGATTCCGAGATGAGACGCAGCCCACACTTGGTACCTTATCCGAAAGTCGACGAAGCCATCAAGAAAGCTAACCGCGACACGGCCAGTGAGACTGTGAGGACACTTTTGGTTTATGGATACATGCTGGAGCCTCCTACTGGAGAACAACACGAGGGTAACTACTTGAGCATATAGCAAGAGTCTGCTTCGTGAAATTATTCTGATGCATCACTGAATCTTTTAGCTTTGCTTCTGGAGGCGAGCAGGCTACGACAGTTATCCTTCAGGACCTACCGCGTTGAGAAGCATTATGCAGTCAGCAGTGGTAAATGGTACTTCGAGTTCGAGGTGCTAACTGCAGGTCCCATGCGAGTTGGCTGGGCGAAAGCGGATTGCATGCCGGGCAGCATGCTGGGAAGCGACGAGAGCACTTGGGCCTTCGATGGTTACAATGTAAGTCACCGTCGATAAAACATTTTAATCTTTATACCGGAGTGTTTGCGTGAGAAACAAATTTCGTGCAACGAATCATTTATTTCAGACAAGTTATTGATCGACTGTGTCGACGGTAAGATTGAAAGGACATTGGTAGAGAATGTCCAATTTCAGAAAATTGATCCTTCTCTATCTTTTGTACATTCTTAATCAAAATGCTACATCTTCACGGTAGTAAAGGATCGAGTAAGTGTAAAGTAGTTGACCCAATTTAATTACTGTACAGTTACACGACGGTCTACTACGGTAAAGATGAAATCGATATGGCATTTTGATTAAGCGTGCAAGGTTGGTAAATTGATTTCTAATCGCGTCGTTGCCCAATGTGAAAGGTCAGAAATAATTGATACCCATCGTGAATGTCAGGTAACTAAAGTACACGCCGGTAGCCACGAGTCATTTGGTCACAGATATCAAGTGGGCGACATAGTTGGATGTTTCATTGACGTCGCAGACCGAACTATCAGTAAGAGTCCAGTTATCCAATAGCCGATCTATAGAGGTCCACTATACTTTCTTTGAGTTTTTCTCGCCACTACTGTTGTCTTTGTCTCTATATGTTCCTTTACGTGTTTTCTTTGTTGTTTCTTTTCTTTTCTCTGCGTTTCCTTGTCCCAAGGTCGAACGAAATCGATGGAAATTTCAAAAGGTGTGGCTTGACCTTGTTATCGATCGCGACGAGATCATTTCTCACGAACAATTGTACAGCGTAGAAAAAAAAAACACGAATGAAACGCGTAGCGATCTCCCGCTACGCCAGTTTCCATTAGTTCTGGAACATCACCCACGCACGAATATCGATGTCGAATTTGTATCGTTAGGTAGTTACCACGGATCGCGTAGAATCACGAAGTATATGTTGAATTGGTGAAATTTTATTTTAAAGGAGGAAAAAGTATACTCGGGCACAGCCGAGACATTTGGCAAACAATGGCAGGTTGGAGACGTTGTCGGGGTTTTCCTGGATCTAATTGACCGAACGATTAGTAAGACGGAATCTTTAAGCGAACGCTTCAGCTGCCATTTGATTACAAGCTATTATGTACACATAGAATTTGATCCAAGAGATAGATTACTGGATACAGAAATTGCGAACGCGCACGGATCCAATGTCAGATTCATGATCGATACGGATACGCGAGAAATTCTTTCTTTCTCCTTTTTTTAGACGAATTAGATTACCCCCAAGAAATGTTATTTACGACATTTATCGTCGCGTCATAATTTGTACAGTCGATGCGAGTGTTGTTTTGCTTGATCATCCGAATTTTTGCAAGAGAAGAAAATCTACTGTGATAATCGCTTTTGCAAAACAAGCAAGTATTCGCTGTTATAAATTATTCTTTCTCTGTTACATCACCGCAGCAACGCTTTTATGTACATGTGTTGAAGTTTCGTCGCACAATCAACCTACATATATGGTGTCCTGTTAATAAAATCGCAGTGGTATCATCTCTGTCTATAGTACATTTTTCTTTTGTTTTTTTCGTATCCAGTATTCTACTCGGTGTTCTGCTGTCAGCGGCAACGATGCTTTCACTATTCATGTAATTCATATCTATTAATCATTAACCAAAAGTTTCGAAATTACTGCAAGACTGTTCAGAATTTCATTCGGAGTAACAACGAATGGTTTTGAGGAAACGCTCTCGATGCACTTTCCTACGAATCTTTTTTCTTACTTTTTTTTAATTCGAATTCTTAGAAGCAGAATCACTTTTATTTTTTAACGTTCTATACCACTCTGTCGCTATCGTATGCATGCACGTTTCACCGAAATAATTTTCGCACCTGCTTTTGCGTAGCTGTACATAATTGTATTTATATGTCTAACGTTGCTAGATAGTTGCAGTTAATTGTACATTGCTTCGGTATCTTGAATTTTTAAATTTTAACTAAAATAATCACCTGCCCTAAATTAATGTTTGCAATTTGAAAAGTATCTTTGCTTCTTAACTCGATCTCTTGCTAGTAATATTTACGAGAAATATCATTATCCAGGCTTTTCTCTGAACGGAGAACTGTTGATGGATGCACTCGGTGGTGAAACATCGTTCGCGGACGTGCAAGGGGATTGTTTTGTCCCAGCTTTTACGCTTGGGGTCGGGCAAAGGGCAAAACTAACGTTCGGTCAGGACGTGAACACCCTGAAATTCTTCACAACCTGCGGTTTGCAAGAAGGATACGAGCCCTTTTGCGTGTACGTAAAGGGATCTTTGGATCGATATTTCGACGCTATTAAAATATTAATAACAAATATTATCTCAGGAACATGAATCGACTGGTTACGTATTGGTACACGAAGGATCAACCCATCTTCGAGAACACCGACGACATGGCTGACACGAGGATCGATGTGGCCAGAATTCCAGCTGGTTCCGACACTCCACCCTGCCTGAAGATCTCCCACAACACCTTTGAAACCATGGAAAAAGCAAACTGGGAGTTTCTGCGACTATCTCTGCCAGTTATCTGTCAGTCCACCTTCGTGTCCGAGAGCGAGAAGCTGCGAAGATGGCAAGAAATCAAGATGCGACAAAGCAAGCTGTTGTCCGAACAAGTGGAGCAAGCTCAGCAAGCTGCGCCCTCTGCTCACATGGAGCAGATCATGAAGTCTGGTTTCAGCATGAGCGACATCAAAGGTATCTAAGTCAAACTTTGAACGGTGATGGCAAGAAAGATATTCCATATCGAATTCTATTAATTACAGGATTGCAGAGAAACTATTCGGAAGATGCAGTCGAGGCCGACGAAATGATGAAAGAATCGCCGCTTCCCATGCAAAGGAACAAACCTGCGAGACCACCCAGAAAGGGATCTGTTTACGGATCTCGTGGAGGCAATATGGAGAACGCGATCAGCGAGGTAGATATGAACGGATATGGAGAGATGAACGGCGACGTCAAAGACGACAAGAAGAAGCGTGGGCGTTCGCCGTTCCGGTTAGTATAACTGCAAATTCATTTATATTCGAGATGAACAAACTCTGATATTTAATCTTGTTAACTTAGCAAGGAAACAGAGGATGTTCCGTAAGTTGCATCAACGAACCCTCTCAAATTTCCACCATAGTTAATCTTTGCGTCTGTTCGATAAATAAGTTTTCGAATAAATTTTGCAGGTTCTTCTCGCGAAAAGCGAAGTCTCCGGATGCGAAATCGAAAACGCCCGAACCGCCTGTGCGATCTGACGTGTCCGACAAGAGCACCAAGACTCTACCGATGAACAAAGCAAGTAGTCGGCCTCCCCAAGTTCGCATATCAAACGTAAAATCATTTATTTTATTTATTTATTTATGCATCGTTGTCCAACCGAGTTGCTTCGTTATTCTCACTCGTTTAACAGCATCGAGTGACTAAATATTTGTCCACAGACGGATTTGAAGGTGGTGCCACCGCAAATTCCGGAACGCAACGCGCCAAAGGCTATGTCGGTTCTCAGCGGATCCGGGGTTGAGTCGATTGGAAACGAGATATACGACACGGAGTGCTTGAAGCTGATGAACGAATACTTCTACGGAGTCAGGATATTCCCTGGACAGGATCCGACGCACGTTTATGTTGGCTGGGTCACTTCTCAATACCACTTGCACACCAAGGACTTTAATTTGTCTCGCGTAAGGAAGGCCTCTGTCGTCATTACCGACGATTACGAACGCCCAGTAGAACAGTACGTTTGGCCTTAGAAACCAATTCGAAAAGTTTAGAAAACGATCAAAATTGAAGAAATTTGAGTCAATGATTTGATTGCAGGGTCGATAGACAGAGCTGCTATATGGTGAGAGCGGACGAGCTATACAACGAGGTAACGCAGGATGCATCTGGTAAAGGTGCGTCTCAAGGAATGTTCGTCGGTTGTTTCGTAGACACGGCGACTGGCTGGGTCTCGTTCACCTGCGAGGGCAAGGAGACCAGCCACAAATTCAGGATGGAACCAGACACCAAACTATTCCCCGCCATCTTCGTGGAAGCCACCAGCAAAGAGATCCTTCAGATCGAACTCGGAAGAACCTCCACCACCTTACCGTTATCCGCTGCGGTCTTACAAAATTCAGAACGTCACGTTATTCCGCAATTTCCGCCTAGATTGAAGGTGCAATGTTTGAAGCCTCACCAGTGGGCTAGAGTGCCCAATCAGTCGCTGCAGGTGCATGCTTTGAAGCTGTCCGACATCAGAGGGTGGTCCATGTTGTGCGAGGACGCCATATCCATGCTGGCTTTGCACATTCCTGAAGAGGACAGGTGTATCGATATCTTGGAACTTATTGAAATGGACAAACTACTCAGGTGAGATATGTTAGCAATCTGAATTTAATCTGCCAGCGTCTGAATGGTCATCTCTGTATCGTATATAATTTAATTCGATTCTAAACTATTTCTCAAAATTTGTTTCACAGCTTCCACGCGCACACTTTGACACTGTACGCAGCCCTGTGCTACCAGTCAAATTACAGAGCAGCACACGCTCTCTGTCAGCACGTCGACCAGAAACAATTACTATACGCAATTCGAGCGGAATACATGTCCGGGCCCCTACGACAAGGATTCTACGACTTGCTAATAGCTTTGCATCTCGAGTCGCACGCGACCACGATGGAAGTATGCAAGAACGAATACATCATTCCTTTAGGTAAATATCTAGCCCCTATATCTGGCACCTATATTCAAATCGCAAAGGAGTTACATATCGCATGTAATTTTTACAGGTCAAGAACTAAAGGACCTGTACGAAGACGAAGAAATGAGGCACAGCCTCAGGTACCTAGAAACCGAGTCCGTTCGTCCTCAAATGAAAATGACGGATATCAGGTAAGTAGTTATCACTCAAAACAGCACATGAACACGATAATCAAAACTAATGGTCGACATCAAGGGAAATTCCTTCTAGCGATCAGACGATCGAGAACATAAGGAGCCTCTACAGTCCCCACTTTCCTTTGGACGTGGTGAGGGATTACGTGATGATGGCTTTGAACGAAGCTGTCGAAGTCAATCAAGTTCACAATCGAGATCCGATCGGTGGCAGCAACGAAAATCTCTTCTTGTATGTAATATTATGAATGCACGTGCACGCCTGGGCTGCTCTGCGCTCTTTGTGTCTTCGTCAACGATAATGCGAAAGAAAGAAGAAGAATGCTAACAGGATACTTTGCATCGCTTGCTACTGCATCCTTCGATCCCTTTCTAAGTCATGTATTTAAACAATTATTTATTGCAGGCCACTGTTGAAGCTGGTCGATAGACTACTCCTGGTGGGAATGTTGAGGAACGAGGATATCATGAAGCTTCTTATCATGATTCATCCGGAGACGTGGGATCCGACGTTTGACAAAGGTAGTTTGATTTTTTTATTAACATGTTCATCGTCAACGATCAAACGTATGACACAAATCCGACTTGCAGAAGGGAAAGACGAGCACAAGAAGGGATTACTTCATATGAAAATGGCGGAAGGAGCGAAACTACAGATGTGTTATCTTCTTCATCATCTGAACGACATCCAGCTTCGACATCGCGTGGAATCGATCATCGCCTTCAGCCACGACTTCGTCGGTGATTTGCAGTCCGATCAACTTCGTCGGTACATAGAAATCAAACAGTCTGACCTGCCATCGGCTGTGGCAGCGAAGAAGACCAGAGAGTTCAGGTGTCCACCTCGGGAGCAGATGAACGCGATTTTGAGCTTCAAGAACATGGAAGCCGCAGATGATCCAGAGAACATCCCTTGCGGAGAAGATCTGATAAACAGAATGAACGAGTTCCACAACAATCTTATGTCCTATGTGTCTTTGCACGCTCTTCAGGAAGCTGCCGATGCCGAGAACGAACCTGTGGAGGAAGTTCAGAAACCTGGTGCCATGAAGAGGCTGTTCAACTTCATCAACGCGGTGAAAGAACTGGAAGAGGAACCCAAACCAGAACCTGAACCGCAGAGAAAGACTCCAGAAGGTAAAATTGCGTTCCAATATGTCTACGTATTTGCAAATATTATCTAGATTAACAAAATTCTTTTTTCGCAGAGGTATTCCGCAAGGTCCTCATAAAAACCATCGTCAGCTGGGCCGAAGAGTCGCAGATCGAAACGCCAAAGTTGGTTCGAGAGATGTTCAGCCTTCTAGTTCGTCAGTACGACACCGTTGGCGAACTAATTCGAGCTCTGGAGAAGACCTACGTGATCAACAGCAAGACCAAGGACGACGTCGCCCTCATGTGGGTCGGACTCAGCCAGATCCGTGCCTTACTGCCTGTGCAGATGTCCCAAGAAGAGGAGGAACTGGTCAGAGAAAGACTCTGGAAGCTCGTGAACAATCACACGTTCTTCCAGCATCCGGACTTGATCAGAGTACTCAGGATCCACGAGAACGTGATGGCAATTATGATGAACACGCTAGGCAGACGCGCGCAGGCGCAATCCGACGCTCAAACTCAGCCCCAAACCACCGAAGGCGAACCAGCATCCAAAGAGAAGGACACCTCTCACGAGATGGTCGTAGCCTGTTGTAGATTCTTGTGTTACTTCTGTCGTACATCCAGACAGAATCAGAAGGCTATGTTCGATCACTTCGACTTCCTGCTGGAGAACAGTAACATCCTACTGTCGAGGCCATCTTTGAGAGGCTCGACGCCTCTGGACGTGGCTTATTCGTCTCTCATGGAGAACACGGAGCTAGCTCTGGCTCTCAGAGAACATTATCTCGAAAAGATTGCGATTTATCTCTCTCGTTGCGGTTTGCAGTCGAACTCCGAATTGGTGGAGAAAGGTTATCCTGACCTGGGATGGGACCCGGTGGAGGGTGAACGATACTTGGACTTCTTGAGATTCTGCGTTTGGGTGAACGGTAATTTCTTTTGTAAAAGTTTTTAGTTCGTGTTAGTAATCAGCATAATTTCAGGCGAAAGTGTCGAGGAGAATGCTAACTTGGTGATAAGATTGCTGATCAGAAGACCTGAGTGTCTGGGACCCGCGCTTCGAGGAGAAGGTGAAGGATTATTGAGAGCGATTATAGATGCCAACAAGATGTCCGAACGCATTGCTGACCGACGACAAGTATGATCCGAATATATAATTTTCCATTGTGAATTATACTCGAGTATTCATCATTCAATAGGTGCACGACGAAGCCGAGGGTACAGCGAGCGTGATGCAGTTCGAGCATCCCCTTCCGGAATCAGACGACGACGAGGACTACATAGACACTGGAGCTGCGATCTTGAACTTCTATTGCACCCTGGTAGATCTGCTAGGTCGTTGCGCTCCAGATTCTTCCGTCATCGAGCAAGGTAAGTGACATCACCATCGACCACGCGATTTCATTTCTTCTAAATATCTATCATCGCTCGATAAAAAACACACACTTTGTTGTTTGAACGAACAAAGCGAACACCCTCATCGTCAACTTCATACTTCACAGTAATACACAGTAAATTGTAGCACAGACAGAACAAGGTTTATCTAATAAGAGTGTTTATTTTTTGACGAGCAACAGAGGCTTCTACAGAATCCGTTGGTAATATATACGAAATGAAACTATACTTTCTTTGTGATACTCGAAATTTCGTCAACTCGTCGGGTTGAAACGGAATGGCTTTTTCAGGGAAGAACGAGTCTCTGCGAGCGAGGGCCATTCTACGATCCCTGGTACCATTGGATGATCTGCAGGGTGTGTTGTCCTTAAGATTCACTCTGTTGAATCCAGCAGCTGGAGAAGAGAAACCGAAGAGCGACATGCCATCCGGTTTGATCCCGGGACACAAACAGAGCGTCGTGCTGTTTCTGGAACGCGTTTATGGCATCGAAACGAGGGAGCTTTTCTTCAAGATACTCGAGGAAGCCTTCTTGCCTGATCTTAGAGCTGCCACGATGCTCGACAGAGTAAGCACATACTATATGGTTATACTGGAAATGGGAATCGTCTTTGCAATTTTTTTGCTTTAATCAGAACGATGGCTACGAGTCTGACATGGCACTGGCGATGAATCGCTACATCGGGAACAGTATCCTACCTCTACTGATCAAGCATTCCAAGTTCTACAACGAGGCAGACAACTATGCCAGTCTGCTCGACGCCACGCTGCACACTGTCTACAGATTGAGCAAGAACAGAATGCTGACGAAAGGTCAACGTGAAGCCGTGTCGGACTTCCTCGTGGCATTGACCAGGTAAGCACGACCGTCTACGACGTATCCATAAGATGATTAACGGAATCGTTTTGTTGCTTAACAAGAGACGTCCACGAGTTAAATGTCTCGTAAGTCCTTATTAACTACCTTAAACCGCTAATTCTCGCCTGTCGATAAATCGTAGTAATAATCGCTATTAATAACTACGCTTATTAATTATGTTGACAACTGAATTCGCGATCTTCCTGTGTATTTTATTTTCAAAATTATTGTTCATCGAATACGTGCGAATGCGAATGTCACGAATTCAGTTGTCGATTCAATAGTATTGCCACCATCATCATTCCGATAAATAGTTTTCCTTTAATCTGATTTTCTGTCTAGCCAAATGCAACCCAGCATGCTGTTAAAACTGCTCCGCAAACTGACCGTAGACGTGTCCAAGCTGTCCGAATATACGACCGTCGCTCTCAGGGTAAGTAATTCGTCCGAAAATTGAACAGCAAGTTTCGCGGTGATCGAATTCATTCATGACTTTCTACAACAGCTGTTGACTCTGCACTACGACCGATGCGCGAAATATTACGGATCAACCGGTGGACAAGGCGCCTACGGAGCCTCAAGCGACGAAGAGAAACGTTTAACTATGGTGCTCTTCAGCAACATATTCGATTCTCTGTCCAAGATGGACTACGATCCAGAACTGTTCGGAAAAGCCTTGCCTTGCCTCACGGCCATTGGTTGCGCTTTACCACCTGATTATTCGTTGTCGAAGAACTACGACGACGAATGGTACGGTAGTAAATCTGCATCCACTCAGTCGCCGGACGGTCCTTACAACCCTCAACCCATCAACACCTCTAGGTATCGTAATCTACCTTCAGCAACTCCATAAAATAATCCGTAAGAATTAACGACCTTTCCATATTTTATGCAGCGTGGTACTGAACAACGATCTGAATCAGATAGTGCAAAAGTTCTCGGAGCATTACCACGACGCTTGGGCCAGTCGCAAGCAAGAGAACGGTTGGACTTTTGGTGAACAGTGGTCCGAAGTGAACAAGACCCATCCCAGACTGAAACCTTATAATATGTTAAACGATTACGAGAGAGAACGCTACAAAGAGCCGGTCAGAGAGAGCTTGAAAGCTCTGTTAGCCATAGGCTGGAGCGTCGAGCACGCGGAAGTGGATGTGCCTTCTACGAATCGTAGTTCTATGAGAAGATCATCGAAAAGTCAGGTAAGCGAATAGAGAGAGTCTAAGATAAACCTAGATCTACTGTTATGGTGATGTTCCAGGGTGATTCGGGAAATCCGTTCAACTACAATCCTCATCCGGTGGACATGACCAACCTGACGCTCAGCAGAGAAATGCAGAACATGGCCGAACGTCTGGCGGACAATGCACACGACATCTGGGCGAAGAAGAAGAAGGAAGAGTTGATTACTTGCGGTTTGTACCTCATAACACCGACTGAATTTAAAGTTAACAAGACAAGTTTAACTCAAACGCTTTAACAGGAGGCGGTATTCATCCACAATTGGTGCCATACGATTTGCTGACCGACAAGGAGAAACGGAAAGACCGCGAACGTTCCCAGGAATTCCTCAAGTATCTACAGTACCAGGGTTACAAGCTCCACAAGCCGAATCGAGGAGGAGAGTCCGAAGTTGCCACGGCTGGAGCCTCGGTGGAATTGCGATTCGCCTACTCGTTGCTGGAGAAGCTGATAGCGTACTTGGACAAGGCTACCATCAACATGAAGCTGTTGAAGCCGTCCGACACGTTCAGCCGAAGAAACAGCTTCAAGACATCGACGCGGGATATCAAATTCTTCAGCAAGGTTGTGCTACCGTTAATGGAGAAGTACTTCAGCACGCACAGGAACTATTTCATCGCTGTAGCCACAGCCACGAACAACATTGGGGCTGCATCGTTGAAGGAGAAGGAAATGGTGGCAGCTCTCTTCTGCAAGTTGGCTAGTCTTCTGAGATCCAGGCTGGCCGCTTTCGGACCAGACGTCAGGATCACCGTGCGTTGTCTTCAAGTACTCGTTAAAGGCATAGACGCGAAGAGCTTGGTGAAGAATTGCCCCGAGTTCATCAGGACTTCCATGTTGACCTTCTTCAATAACACCGCGGACGATCTGGGTCATACGATTCTGAATCTTCAGGAGGGAAAGTATAGTCATTTGAGGGGCACACATTTGAAAACCTCGACGTCGTTGTCGTACATCAACAGCGTCGTTCTGCCGGTACTCACGGCCATGTTCGATCATCTGGCTGCGTGCGAGTATGGCAGCGACTTGTTACGTAAGTAAACAGTCAAACTAGATTTGTACACCATAATAAACGTAAGTTAACTTTATACTCTCTTTGCAGTGGATGAAATTCAAGTGGCGTCCTACAAAATGCTGGCGTCTCTCTACACTCTCGGTGTGGATTCCACTTTGACACACGACAGGAAGTACTTGAAGACGGAGATAGAACGTCACAAGCCTAACCTAGGCTCCTGTCTGGGTGCCTTCTCCAGTTGCTTCCCAGTAGCCTTCCTAGAGCCCCACCTGAACAAACACAATCAATTTTCTCTCTTAAATCGAATCGCTGACCATTCCTTAGAAGCGCAGGACATCATGACGAAGATGGAGTCGAGCATGCCAACCCTGGAGACGATCCTAACAGAAGTCGATCAGTTCGTGGAATCCGAAAAGACCTACAACGATCTTCCTCACGTTGTCGATGTAATTCTTCCTCTGCTCTGCTCCTACTTGCCCTTCTGGTGGGCTCAAGGGCCGGACAACGTAAACCCAACGGAAGGAACGTACGTCAGCATGGTCACCAGCGATCACATGAATCAGCTCCTGAAGAACGTTCTGAAGTTAATCAAGAAGAACATCGGTAACGAAAATGCTCCCTGGATGACGCGCATCGCAGCCTACACCCAGCAGATCATTATCAACTCCTCGGAGGAATTGCTGAAAGATCCCTTCTTGCCGCTCGCCGAGCGAGTTAGAAAGCGCACGGATAACATGTTCCACAAAGAAGAGTCTCTTCGTGGTTTCATCAAATCATCCACTGATGACACGTCGCAAGTCGAGGCGCAGATACAAGAGGACTGGCAACTTCTGGTTCGCGATATCTACTCGTTTTACCCCCTGCTGATCAAGTACGTTGATCTGCAGAGGAATCACTGGCTACGAAACAACATTCCGGAAGCGGAGGATCTTTACAACCACGTGGCTGCGATATTCAACATCTGGTCCAAGTCACAGTACTTCCTGCGCGAGGAACAGAACTTCATATCGGCGAACGAGATCGATAATATGGTGCTGATCATGCCCACTGCGACCAGGAGACCTACCACTATTTCGGATGGAACGGCGCCTTCCGGAGGTGGCAAGGTTGGTACCGAAACTTGACCCTTGACTATGAGAAACATTCTACGAAATATTATGGTTCACAGAAAAAGAAGAAACATCGCGACAAAAAGAGGGACAAGGACAAAGAAGTTCAGGCATCCTTGATGGTAGCCTGTCTGAAGAGATTGCTACCGGTCGGTCTGAACTTGTTCGCTGGTCGTGAACAGGAACTGGTGCAACATTGCAAGGACAGGTTCCTGAAGAAGATGCCGGAGTACGAGATCTCTGAATTTGCCAAAACCCAGTTAACCCTGCCAGACAAGATCGACCCAGCCGATGAAATGTCCTGGCAGCATTATCTGTACTCCAAGTTAGGTCAGAAGAAGGATTCGATGGAACCGGTGAAGGCGCAGCAGTTAGAGGACGTCGTTGCTAGGATCACCGACATGGCTAAAGTTCTTTACGGTTTACATATGGTAAGTAGAAGATTATCGTTGATTCATTTAACCTTCCCAATTTTATCATCCTTATCCGAATAGTTTGGTACTTTGAATTCTTTCGATTCATTTAGCGAATTTATTTTCTCGAGTAGATAGATCATCCGCAACAGCAGAGCAAGGGTCAATATCGATCAGTGGTGTCGATACAACGTAAACGAGCGGTGATCGCTTGTTTCCGTCAAACTTCCCTACATTCCCTGCCCAGGTATCCCTTTTTGGTTTGATTGGCCTTAACAGTTGAGTTTGTTCGTTTATTTGCTCCTCACACCTTTGCTGCGTTTATAATTACATTTATGCAAAGATAACAAAGTGATCGGTGATTTTGATGTTCACTATGAGAAAGCTTGCGTAAGAATGACACCGACTAACTATCGATGATGCTTCTGTAGTTATTTGTTAGTGATCTAACAACTATAGTTATGTGTGCATGCTGCTAAAAGGCAACGAAACCTCCACCATCTCGAGGTGGATGGAAGCGCGTGTTGTGTGCAGCGAGAAAAAGGGCAGCGATTGCATGTCTACGTAGCGAACCACTTTACAAATTACGAAGGTAAAGCGACCGTTTCATTGCATGATCGTAGCCTACCATAAATGCTAAATTCTGATTATCAATCTTCGTTGCAGGCATCGGGCTATAAACATCTTTGCACGGACGTACTACGAGCTGTGGTTGCAGGATGAGAATGTCGGTCAGGAAGTGATGATTGAAGACCTTACGGTAAACATTTAACTCTATGCTCTCCATCATTATTTTATATCGCTGTTTCACTTACGTGTATTTGTTTCAAAGCAATCTTTCGAGGACGCGGAATTGAAGAAAATGGACAAAGACGAGGACGAGGGAAAACCAGATCCCTTAACGCAACTTGTAACGACGTTCTGTCGCGGTGCCATGACAGAACGATCTGGTGCTCTTCAGGAAGATCCGTTGTACATGAGCTACGCGCGAATTATATCGAAATCTTGTGGAGAAGAGGAGGAAGAAGGCGAGGACGAGGGCGGAGGCGGGGAGGAAGAAGGTGGTGCCTCGATCCACGTAAGTTCACTTTTGAGAAATTGAAGCTTCTGTTAAAGAAACTCTTCAATTGGACAATATAGCTCTTATGGAAAAATGGTGCAGCGTTTGAAACTTAATAACAATTTCGTGTCTTTTTCTCGCGTACTAACCCTGTAGAAGCGGGGCCATAAGCCACTTATGGTAAGAACAAGCAGCCGTTTGCGGAAATTCAATTGCTTCCATAACTGTACTTGCAACTTTATGTTGATGCCAAATGCAAAGTAAATCGACATACCTGGCATATCATCGTAGGACATAGTTGACCTGTATGAAAGTTTACCTTGCGTACACCGGTGAGCTAGACTCCCTGACGCAAATTGCAGTGTAGGGAAACGGGTAACTTTCAAGAACTATAATGGGACCTCCTTTCCCTACGACGCCATTTCATGTAGGAAAGCCAAATGCTCACCGGTGTACGTGTTTGTACATATGCTTGCATCAAAGGTGGCCGTATCCCTGATCACTTTTCGAGATTAATTGCAATTCCACCCGACCCATTACATATTCTAAGCAATACTAACTAACATCGCTAATCTTCGATGTCTCTTTAATGCTCACTCACAGCGACCGATGCACAAACTGATGGTAAGACCTCTAACCTTTGAACGTCCACGGTTCTAAGCTACATTTTCAATGATTCTGACACTCGTACAGGAACAAGAAATGGAAAAGCAAAAGCTCCTCTTCCACCAAGCTCGTCTCGCTAATCGAGGTGTGGCCGAGATGGTACTGCTTCATATATCAGCCTGCAAAGGTCTTCCGAGCGAAATGGTGATGAAAACCTTGGAGCTGGGTATCTCCATCCTGCGCGGTGGTAACATAGAGATACAACGCGGGATGCTGAACCACCTGAAGGAGAAGAAGGACGTAGGTTTCTTCACCTCGATCGCTGGTCTGATGAATTCTTGCAGCGTGCTGGACTTGGACGCGTTCGAGAGGAACACGAAAGCGGAAGGTCTCGGAGTCGGTTCCGAGGGTGCTGCCGGGGAGAAGAATATGCACGACGCCGAGTTCACCTGTGCACTCTTCCGATTCATACAACTGACTTGCGAGGGTCACAATCTCGGTAAGTTAATCTTGAAATTGTCTCACGAAGATGCATAGAACAAAATATGTAACGATTTTTTTGTTGGTAGACTGGCAAAATTATCTGAGAACTCAAGCTGGTAACACGACGACGGTGAACGTGGTCATCTGCACGGTCGATTACCTCTTGAGACTTCAAGAATCCATCATGGACTTCTACTGGCACTACTCCAGCAAAGAACTTATCGATCCAGCCGGAAAGGCGAATTTCTTCAAAGCGATCGGCGTTGCCAGTCAGGTGTTCAACACCTTGACTGAAGTAATTCAAGGTCCCTGCGCGCAGAATCAACAGGCGTTAGCTCATTCTCGATTGTGGGACGCGGTCGGTGGATTCCTCTTCTTGTTCTCTCATATGCAAGATAAGCTATCGAAACATTCGAGCCAAGTGGATCTCTTGAAGGAATTACTGAATCTGCAGAAAGACATGATCACTATGATGCTCTCCATGCTTGAAGGTATGAGTTCTCAATCAAACCAAACCATCCTGAACTTTACTTCATGGTTTATGTTATTGCAGGAAACGTCGTGAACGGAACGATCGGAAAACAGATGGTGGACACGCTAGTAGAATCTGCGAGCAACGTGGAGCTGATTCTGAAGTACTTCGATATGTTCTTGAAGCTGAAGGACCTCGTATCTTCGCCCAGTTTCCTGGAAGTGGATCTGAACAGCGATGGCTGGGTGTACCCGAAAGATTTCAAGGAAAAGATGGAACAACAGAAGAGTTACACCGAGTAAGTATCTCAGATTCCTTTTACATCTTCGAAAACTATAACGATGAATATTGTCAGCGAGGAGATCGAGTTCCTGCTGGCTTGTTGCGAGACGAACCACGACGGCAAGATCGACTACGTCGCGTTCATGGACCGTTTCCACGAGCCTGCGAAAGAAATCGGCTTCAATCTCGCCGTGTTGCTCACCAATCTGTCTGAGCACATGCCAAACGAACCCAGGCTGGCCAGGTTCCTCGAGACGGCTGGCTCCGTGTTGAACTACTTCGAGCCGTTCCTCGGCAGGATCGAGATCCTCGGCGGCAACAAGAAGATCGAAAGAGTGTACTTCGAGATCAAGGAGTCGAACATCGAGCAGTGGGAAAAGCCGCAGATCAAGGAGTCGAAGAGGACGTACTTCTACAACACCGTGGTCGAGGCAGGCGAGAAGGAGAAATTGGAGACGTTCATCAACTTCTGCGAGGACGCCATCTTTGAGATGCAGCACGCTAGCGCGCTGATGGCTGTCGAAGAAAGCGGTGGAATTGGGAAGGCGAGGGAGTCTTCTTACACGTACATGACGGAAGACGACGAAGAGAGGAACAAGGATCCTATCAGGAGAGGCATTCAGACATTCAAGGACGGTATTTACTTCTTCTTCTCCATATTCTCGCCGAGCAACATCAAGAACAAGATCGCGGAGATGCAGCAGATGACCTTCTTGGAACTCTTCATCGGTTTCTTCAAGATGATATTCTACGCGTTCTACTATTCCGGATTCGGGGTTGGTTGCGTGATCAGGTACTTCATGAGATTGTTACTGGCGCTGATGAAGGGACCGCACGTGGAAGAGCCTGTTGTCGAAGTGAAGGAAGAGGAGGAGAAACCGTCGAGACATTTGCCTGCTTTGCCACCGACGCCGGATGAATCTAATCTACAGGTCAGCATTAACATAACTAGCTATTTTACACAATATGAAGTGTGACAAAATTGCAAAGCCATCAAATATTAGAACACAAAATGCAATGTTCCGACTTCTAAATAGGTACAAGCCTTCGGAATGGATATAACAAAAGAAGAAGGTGGTCAGATAAAGATAGCGCCTCACGAGTCGGCAACTTCGACGCCTCAATCGAGCATCGAGGAAACCGGCGAGAGTACACCGGAAGAGGCTACTGGCGAGGACGGTGCAAGGGCTGAAGGCGGCGACTCGGAAACCCCCGTTTCCTTGGCTGACTTATTAGGGTATAACACTACATTTCAAAACGAAACGACGTTTCAAAAGACACGTATACCAAGAATATCTAATGATCATTTTTTAACAGCGGTGAACAAGCAAGAGCTCAGGCAGCAGCCGCAGCGGAAGCAGCAGCCGCTCAACAGGCAGCTATGGCAGCGGTCGAAGCAGAAGCCAAACAGGAAACAACGGCAGAACCATCCGGCTCTTCCATCGATTTCTCTGAATACACTCACCGAGTTGTATCGTTCTTGGCAAGGAATTTCTATAACCTGAAATACGTGGCTCTGGTTCTCGCTTTCTGTATCAATTTCATGTTGCTGTTCTACAAGGCAAGCTTATACATTTCAAGATAGATTATGCACGCTATGATGGATTATGTCATATCGCGTTACATCATGAGTTATTCGATAGGTTTCTTCTTTGGCCGGCGACGGGGACGAGGAGGGCAGTGGTCAAGTTATAGCAGATATTCTGGCAGACATGTCTGGCGAGGGTCCATCCGGTTCTGGAAGTGGTGGTGGAGTGGAATTGGGAAGCGGTAGCGGTGAAAACGAGTCCGAAGAAGAGGAAGACGAGTACGCGTTGGAATACGTCGAGGTCGCAGAGGATTTCTATTACATGGCACACGTTATGAGGCTCATGGCTGTTCTCCATTCGATCGTTTCTCTCGCTATGCTGGTTGCTTACTATCATTTGAAGGTATGAATGCGTACTGAGTGAAGACCGAGTATTACTACGAGACCTACGAGATTACTTATTTCATAGGTACCGTTGGCGATCTTCAAACGAGAAAAGGAAATCGCGAGGAGGGTGGAATTCGACGGGCTGTACATTGCCGAGACGCCGGAAGAAGACGACATCAAGGCTCACTGGGATAAGATGGTGATATCGGCGAAAACATTCCCCGTGAATTATTGGGACAAATTCGTCAAAAAGAAAGTGAGGCAGAAGTACAGCGAGACGTACGACTTCGATTATATCAGCAATTTACTGGGCATGGAGAAGACTTCGTTCAGCCAGCAAGAGGAAGAGGGTTCTGGTTTGATACACTTGTAAGTATATCATTGAGAGCCCCAGAAGCGAGTAATTATCAAGCGAGTATTGTATCAAGTTCTATGAAATTTCAATTCATTTCAGCATCGTAAACATCGACTGGAGGTACCAAGTTTGGAAAGCTGGAGTCACCATCACCGACAACGTGAGAAAATTAATTTATACATCATCAAGAACTTTCAGATCTTCCATGTTTAATCTTGATACTGTTCTTTCTTCAGGCATTTTTGTACAGTTTATGGTACTTCATATTCTCGATCCTCGGCAACTACAACAACTTCTTCTTCGCCGCTCACTTGCTGGACGTTGCAGTTGGTTTCAAAACGCTTCGAACGATCTTGCAGTCCGTCACGCACAACGGCAAACAGCTGGTGTTGACGGTGATGCTGTTGACGATCGTGGTGTACATATATACGGTGATAGCCTTCAACTTCTTCAGGAAGTTTTACATTCAAGAAGAGGATGACGAGGTCGACAAAAAGTGTCATGACATGTTAACGGTACGAATTGAAACGATTATGTCAGACTTTCATGAACACAGAAGTTAAATTTTGATTGTTTGTTTCAGTGCTTCGTGTTTCATCTGTACAAAGGTGTCAGAGCTGGTGGAGGTATCGGTGACGAAATTGGTGAACCTGACGGTGACGATTACGAGGTTTATCGTATCATGTTCGACATCACATTCTTCTTCTTCGTCATCGTCATTCTATTGGCTATTATTCAAGGTAAATTAAAACAAGTTCTACCCCAGGTTCAACTTTGAGTCAACTTTGATTTAATCCTCTTCAGGTTTGATCATCGATGCGTTCGGTGAACTTCGAGACCAGCTGGAGAACGTGAAGACGAATATGGAGAGCAATTGTTTCATCTGCGGTTTAGGAAAAGAATACTTCGACACGGTACCTCACGGATTCGATACTCACGTTCAGCAGGAACATAATCTTGCTAATTACATGTAAGTTATTTCAATGATTTGCGATAGTTTAAAGTATTAACTGTCATAACATCGATTCACAGGTTCTTCCTGATGCACTTAATCAACAAACCAGACACCGAATACACCGGTCAAGAAACGTACGTGTGGAACATGTACCAGCAAAGGTGTTGGGACTTCTTCCCAGTCGGTGACTGCTTCCGCAAGCAGAACGAGGCGGTAGAAGAAGAGGCCAAGAAGAAATAAAAATTTTTTCAATCGTTTTACATGTACCTAGATGACCAATCGATCATTACCAAGGAAACTCTTCCTTTCCTCGAACCTCTTCGATAATCGTAGTTTCCGATTTCTACGCGCAATGAGGAGTACATTAAGAACATTCGACAATTTTTGCAGATTAAATCGTTAGAAAATGAACGTTATCGCTCGTCCATCGATAGACACGAAACTAGAGAACGCGTGTGTGTATCTTTTACATTCGACGTTTATTATTACTGTCATTATTATTATTATTATTATTCCAAGTTTTAAGACGCGAGGTTTTTCACGACAAGGAATCGCGCTAATCGCGAGCTTTCCAGCGCGAGCAAACAAGCCGAGAGACTGGCGAGATATTTTTCCAACCTATTTTTCCAACTTTTTAAGGGTGGCTGGATATCGTGTAATCGATAGTTTCCTCCTTGTAATAGAATCTAATCGCAAAAGTGTTGTTAATCGTTGACAATGGAAACCGACTGCACAAATCTACATTATCATAAACGTTACGATTGCCTTCTTTTCATACGTCGTGTGACCACATTTGCGCGTAAATTATTTAACTGATTAACGTAATGTTTGAGATATGCAAGATATTTAATAAGTTGATGATGTTTGAAGTTTATATGAATCATCGAGTTCTCGGCGAGAACTTTTTAAAGATCATTGACGACTGAAATCGCGATATAATCAAACATGTCAATACATTGTAAATAACGATTCTACGAGAAGATTACCTGAGAATAAAGAAAGACATACTTCTTTATTATTTTTTCGTCATTACAGTCCTTTTCATAGTTACTACTAATTATTTTTTTTTATGCTCTTTCAGATGTCACCTTCCCATTCACATCTCATTTAATCTTTATCGAGGATAAGTCTAATCGATAGAATAATCAATATTTTAAGAACGAATGACTCTCAGACTCTTCGTCGCTTACATATGAATAATCTTCGTATAAAAATGGGGAATAAACTTTTATTCGAATAAAATAAAAAATTCTTCATTATTATTGCTCGTTATCTACCGCATCTCCTTCCCAATCTGAGCGAGTGCGTAGTCTATCGAACATCGATTTTTCTTCTTCCGTTAGAACACCGGAAGAGCAACAAGACGATGTCGTGTACCTCGTTTTCCATCGTAAAAAGGAAAAACAGCGATCCCTGAAAGAGCGATGGAGGGAAAGAGGTCGCGCAAGCGCCCCTCTGGAAAGAGCCGGTGGTTGAAGAGCCTCGGGGTGAAAATGCACCATGGCATGGGAGTGTCAGCAGGCGATCATCGTTGCGGCGAAAATCCCGCGATGCAGCCCAGGAACGGGGTCTGCGACAAGATCGAAAATTACATATCCGAGCTCGGACAATGGTACGTGAGTAAGGGGTGAATGGTGGGCCAAGGGGATCTTCGGAAGAAAAACCACCCTTGAGCCGGCTGCACTGGGCGGCTGAAGGGGGAGTCCGGGGATAAAAGTGGCGGGTGTTTACTATGATTTTTGTCGCGTTACTTTTGTGCGTGTGTAAACCACTTTGTTTTGCTCGTCGTGTTTATCCACCCTTTCGAGCAAAAATGACTTCATCGACAAATTCAGACAAAAATATTTATATTCCCATACACTTTTTGTAAATATGTACATATTTTTTTTATGGATCTTGTGTACCAATCTACTTTTTACCTAATTATTTTTACTGTACTTTATTTAATTGAAGTGGAGATATAAAAAGAAAAGAGTATGTTTGGATAATGTGGTGCCTTGAGAGGATGTTTATGATCCATAGAGTTATTAAAATGTTTACTCGTTCACACGTTTCGATTGAACTATTCACAGGTCGGTATGGAGAGCGATAATAATGGGACAATTCTTGTCCTTGGTATTGTGCTTCATGACCCTCGTAAATCATCACATCAACACCACGTATCAGCTCTTGCTTCCAACCGGTAAGCTATTTGTGATCGATCGTAATTGTAATCTATTGACAAATGGGCGATCGACCATTTTGATATCACGAGCCGATAATTTTTTATTTAATCAGGGCAAAATCTTCCGCATTACGTTATGATGTGCCTTGTATACACAACCTGGATGTCCTGCAGAGGGGTAGGGAACGGCCTAATTTCTGTCATAAGAGTCCGTGGATGGAGATACTTGCTGTTGGCACTCATTGACGTCGAAGCGTGCACACTCATAACATCCTCGCACCAATTCACCAGCCTGGCTAGTATACAGGTATGCGTTAATGATGTCGTACAAGATTTCAGCGTCTCTAAAGAGCATAAAGAAGTTCTGCATTTCTTTATGCGGTGCTGGCCTAGTAACTCGTCTTCCTTTTAAAACTTTATAAATTATTCAAGCTGAAAAAAATTCAACTCCTTTTTTCATTCTTTAATCTCTTTGCCACTTTCGATTTAGAAGGAAATTCGCTCGGTAACATTAACATTTAGAAAACCTTCATTGTCTTTGAAAACGGTTTATCGATGGTAGCACAAGTTTTGTTCGATGGATACAATAAGGTGCAAACGTTACACCTTACAATAGATTTCTGTGCTTACGACTTTTGCGGTTAAATCGTCAATTAAACGATTCGCGGTGGTTGTGAATGACACGGTGCAACCATTGTATCGAATATACAATAGGCCGTGGAAGGAGGACACAAGGTCTTCGACCCGCCTCGTTCACCCCTCGCTGGCTATTCTTAATCGAACGAGATGCAAGCGTTATAGAATTACTCCCTGTTGCGTCGAAGTTTTAACGATGCTGGTATTAATTTAATTCCGGAAATTTTGTTTCAGCTGCTCGATTGCGTGGCTATACCGGTTGCTCTGGGTCTCTCGTGTCTGGTTCTCGGCGTCAGATATCGAATGGTACACATAGTCGGCGTCTCCGTTTGTTTGATGGGTGTGGGTTGCTTGGTCTGGGCAGGCATCGATGACAATAAGGATCCTGCGTTCACAGGTGATTCTACTATAAAGTCTTTCGCATTTTTAACTCTTTGTGGACGTATTACTCTGATCGTGTCAAAGATAGAATCCTTGATAAGACTTTGTAAAAGTACTTTGGAAGAAACCACAATATAACTTTGAAAAATTGATCCAGTTAACAGACTGAAATAAATATAATCGCAAAGGGTTAATCGTCGCTAAAAATAAAGCTTAACCGCCAAATTGGCTAAGTCGTAATTTCCTGTGCGAAGGAAAGAATCAACTGGTTGGAGATATGCTGTGTCTCGGTGGCGCGGTATTATTTTCGGTGACCACCGTGCTGCAGGAATTGATCGTTAAAACGGTCGATATCATAGAATATCTGGGTATGATCGGTTTCTTCGGTACTATACTGTGCTCCATGCAAACGTAAGTCTGTCACGAGGGTGCAACGACGGATTTAGTATTCCATACTTCCACGTTGATGTTGTTGCAGAGCCGTGCTCGAAAGCATGAAGGTGGAATCGTTCCAGTGGAACAACGCACCGGTGGTTACGTTCTTGGTGGTTTACTGTATCACACAGTTTGTATTCTTCTCGCTGGTGCCTGTCATACTGTTCGAGTCAGGGGCGACGGCGTTACATCTAGCACTGCTGACCGCCGACTCCTTCAACGTCTTATTTGGCATGCTGATTCATCAGTACAAGGTAAAGACATTTTTGCGAAAATGAACAAAAAAATTTCGACGCTATTGTCCTGATTCCATAATAGAAACCTGTTCCACGTGCTGCGCTGTCTGCATCGACAACGTGTACATATGCTAATAAGACTCCTTCCACCTGTTCCAGTTTCATGCATTGTATTTCGTCTCGTACACGCTCACAATGACTGGTATATACATCTACGCGATAAAGAGAACACCGCTGGGGTCGACCGCGCGAAGACAACACGTTGAATCTTCTGCTCCGGATTACAGGTAACATTTGCATTTGCACAGACCACAGATTAATCCTTTCGCTTTACTTGTAATATAATGAAAATTGTGAAACGCACTGCGGGAAACTTCGATTCGAACCGACTACTTAAGCGAAAGGATTAAAAAGATCAGAATGTCAAGAAGAAAGATCAATGGGCAAATACGTCAACAACGTCCCACGGCGACCTGGTATATTTTTATCAAAAAATCAAAGAGACTAAACAAATGAGAAAACGCTGTTGACCCTGAGGTGTTCTTAACGTCTACACCTATTGATTTCTTTCTTCAAACAACTAACGCCTCTCTAATTCCGTTAAGAGCTCCATTCACTCCTTTCTGAGCGTTCGTAAATTCTTTTGTACATATTCGCGAAATAAATTTAGAGGATCGGAATTACCGTTCATATTTTTAAAGAAAATTTTCTCGCGACTATTGACTTTGAAGCCCGTAGTTGAGAAATAATGTTCCCTAATTAAATCACGTCCACGTCGTCGACAGAAAATTAATAAACGATCGATCATGAATTGAAGTGACGTCATTTTAAGACACATGTCACATCCCGACGTTGGTGAGGTGGAGATGGCGACCAGTTCAGGAATGTCAGGGGTGAGTGGTACCCTGGATGTAAGGGCGTCAACCCTTGGCAGTGAAAAGGAGACGGTGGATGCAACCAGTCTGCCACCGAGCGTTAGCTCCGACACGGCCTTCACCTCTTTTTACGGAAGTTATTACGATTAAATGGGATACCGCGATGGAAACACATCGGAACGAGTAGGAAAAGTAATTTACTGCGAATATGCTCTTGTTAAGCGATTTATACACAATTTCCAATCGACAAATACGAAAATGTTTTTTTTCGGTTTATACAATGTTATAGGGATAAGAATAACTAAAGAATGTCTTCGTCGAGCTAAGTTTGTAATAATCGGTCGTTTTTCTAAGAAATTCGCCGTTTTAATATCGATCAACGATGCATAAATGCATTCTGCGTTGTTCATTTAAATATTTATGGAACTATAAGTATTATAAATCCTTGTTGCTCAACATACTTTGTAAGTTAATGAAGTACAACTTACTGTTACTAGATTTAATTGTAAGCATTGGAGGAAGCTGATTTCCTTGTTATGTGTATAATAACAAGTAAAAATTGGTGATAAATATTTTTATGATTCTTCTATTTAGTTTCGTCCGTGTGTTATATTGAATTTATATTGTATCGTCCATGTACATGTTGAAATATTGTTTTTAAGTCTTATGTATATTATTTTCGAAACACATAATAAACGAACGACAAATCAAATACAATTGTTGTTTCATTATTGATATTTACATTACCGTTTATTATTTAATTCCATATGATTTAAAAGTAGCGCGTTCTGTAATGTGTTTACAGTTCCAAATAGTGCATCTGGTGGCTACATGTCGTATGGTGTCGCGAAAATCAGTGATGAAGCCGCAATGGCGGGTTCTATAGAGATTCCGCTGCGTGACACGGACGAGGTGAATATTTCTGTTTCTGACCTTCAGTTTTATTATTTTTAAGGCATCAGGAGTCAACTAAACGGTTCCTGTTCTACATCCATTAAACGCATCTTGAAAATCTTTAAAGAATCGTGATAAGGCGACCACTCTATGCACCTAACCTCTTAAACAGGATGCTTGTCGAATGCGTCGTACACGTTAGACACGGCCACACACGTCACACTATTACTTGAACACATCAGAATTTGTTTTGTAATGAAATATAATGATAGTTTTTGTTTCCCTTGCTTTAATCAAACTATTTTCGTCGCATTTATCGGGTTTACTTGGTTCCTGCTGTTTTCACTATACCCTCTATTTGTATTTTGTATAGAAAATTGAATATTAGTTCATTGTTATTTGAAGTTTTTAATAAATTGAATTTTGTATGTACATTTTGTCTAATTAAATGCCTTTCCATGTCTATATCACAGAAACGTTATTTTAATCCTAAAATTACATTCTGTTAGGTAATAGAACTCTACCTAGATCAGTTACCAGAAGGTGATGAAGTTCTTGGAATTTTACGCCAAGAACATGCACAACTTAATATCTGGGTCAATTTGGCCGTATGTACCTTTAAATATTTAAATAGTTGAGATAGAGATGTGACATACGGTGAAACATATTGCTTTTCATTGCAGCTTGAATATTACAAACAACATAAAATCGAAGATTTTATTAAGATACTTGAATCTTCTCGTATTGATGCTAATATCGATTATCGTGACTATGAGAAAGATCAAATGCGTGCATTGGACATGTTGGCCGCATATTATGTGCAAGAGGCCAACAGGGAAAAAAATAAAGATAAGAAAAGAGATCTGTTCACAAAAGCCACGCTACTGTATACGACTGCTGATAAGATCATTATGTATGACCAGGTATATGTTCATAATTTAGATAGTATTTACAGAGTCATAATTGTTTGAACATTTGTTAAATGATATATTTTATATTCAAGAATCATTTACTTGGCCGAGCTTACTTTTGCCTCTTGGAAGGCGACAAAATGGATCAAGCAGATGCCCAATTTAATTTTGTACTGAATCAATCTCCAAATAATATCCCATCTTTACTCGGTAAAGCGTGTATAGCATTCAATAAGAAAGATTATCGGGGTGCACTTGCCTTCTATAAAAAGGCATTGAGGACAAATCCAAACTGCCCAGCTGCTGTAAGATTAGGAATGGGACACTGTTTCATGAAGTTGAACAATCAGGAAAAAGCACGTTTAGCATTTGAAAGAGCTCTACAATTAGATGGCCAGTGTGTCGGAGCACTGGTTGGACTTTCAGTTTTGAAACTGAATCAACAACAACCAGATAGTATCAGAACCGGTGTACAAATGTTGTCTAAAGCTTACACGATCGATTCAACGAATCCTATGGTGTTGAATCATTTAGCAAATCATTTCTTCTTTAAGAAAGATTATAACAAAGTACAGCACTTGGCATTGCATGCATTTCACAATACCGAAAATGAAGCTATGCGTGCAGAGAGTTGCTATCAATTAGCTAGAGCATTCCATGTTCAAGTAAGCTTATTTTTATTACACATTGATTCCGTGTGTTTAATAAAGTTTTAACTAGTAATTTATTTATTTTAGGGCGACTATGATCAAGCATTTCAGTACTATTATCAAGCAACGCAATTTGCTCCTCCAGTTTTTGTATTGCCCCACTTTGGTTTAGGTCAAATGTACGTTTATCGTGGGGACGCAGAAAATGTAAGTACAACATAGTCTTCGATAGGAGATATATAATACGATAAATTTAATGAATCGCCCTTAATCATTTTTTATCACAGGCAGCACAGTGTTTTGAGAAAGTATTGAAAGCTCAACCTGGTAACTATGAAACGATGAAAATTCTCGGATCGTTATACGCGAATTCGAGTTCACAATCGAAACGCGATATCGCTAAAAATCATCTTCGCAAAGTAACAGAACAATTTCCGGACGATGTCGAAGCATGGATTGAATTAGCTCAAATATTGGAACAAAGTGACCTTAACGCAGCCTTAAATGCATACGGTACTGCAACTAGAATTTTGAAAGAAAAAGTTCAGGCGGATATACCGCCCGAAATTTTAAATAACGTTGGAGCTTTACATTATAGGTATTTACGATGTTTCATTTTGTAATTCCATTTTTTATACCACTTCTAAACTAGTAGTCTACTATGTTGCAGACTTGGGAATTTAGAAGAGGCTAGAAAAAATTTGGAAGAATCTTTAGCGCGTTCTAAAGCCGATGCCTTACATGATTCTGTGTACTATAACTCAATCGCGGTTACAACAACGTATAATTTAGCACGTCTGAACGAAGCTTTATGCGTCTTCGATAAAGCGGAGAAACTATACAAAGACATTTTGAAAGAACATCCGAATTATGTGGATTGTTATTTACGACTTGGTTGTATGGCTCGGGATAAAGGTCAAATTTATGAAGCGTCCGATTGGTTTAAGGACGCATTGAGAATAAACAATGAACATCCAGATGCATGGTCTCTTTTGGGTAACTTGCATTTAGCCAAAATGGAGTGGGGCCCCGGTCAGAAGAAATTCGAAAGAATTCTCAAAAATCCATCGACAAGTACCGATGCTTACTCTTTGATTGCTTTGGGTAACATCTGGTTACAAACATTGCATCAAAGCGGTAAGGATAAAGAACGGGAAAAACGTCATCAAGATAGAGCGCTGGCTATGTATAAACAGGTATTATAATAAGAATTACTATTTACAATATGTATATGTGTATAGATATATATGTATCGAAATTTTTAGGTTTTGCGAAATGATCCTAAAAATATTTGGGCGGCGAACGGAATCGGGGCTGTATTAGCGCATAAAGGCTGTGTGAATGAAGCCAGAGATATTTTCGCTCAAGTTCGAGAGGCAACAGCAGAATTTTGCGATGTTTGGTTAAACATTGCACACATTTATGTTGAGCAGAAACAATTCGTTAGTGCTATTCAAATGGTAACTATTTCATATCGTACATTTGATATTATAACCCACACTGATACTAATTAATGAATATGATTTACTAGTATGAAAATTGTCTTCGTAAATTCTACAAATATCATCACGTCGAAGTTTTGCAATACCTCGGAAGAGCTTACTTCAAGGCTGGTAAATTGAAAGAAGCAAAGTTGACGTTGTTAAAGGTAAATATAAGATGTTTATTTGTTACAGTTATTAAAGAAATAAACGAGTGAATATTATAGGCAAGAAGAGTAGCACCACAGGATACAGTTCTGTTGTACAATATTGCGCTTGTACTTCAACGTTTGGCGACACAAATTTTGAAAGACGAAAAGTCAACGTTGACAACCGTATTGCAAGCAGTCCATGAACTGGGACTTTCGCATAAGTATTTCCAATACTTATCTACACACGGCGACAGAATGGAACAGTTGGCAGAAACGGAAGCAAGGAGATGTCAGGACTTGTTATCGCAAGCACAGTACCACGTTGCCCGGGCTAGGAGATTGGACGAGGAGGAAAAGATGCTTAGACGAAAACAGGAAGAAGAAAGGTAAATTGACACATGGAAATATTTGATATTCGTCGAACAGCGTAGCGATAACAATCTTACTTCGACAGACAAGCATTCAAAATGCGTCAGACGGAGGAACAAAGAAAACTTGAAGAAATGCGTCGTCAAAAGGAGGAAGAAATGTTACAGAAACGGCAAGAATATGTTGAAAAGACCAAGAACGCTTTAGTGTTTGGAGAAATGCCATCAGAGAAGCCTGGAAAGAAAGGAAAAAGAGTCCGTACTGATCAATACGTTAGCGACAGTGGTGGTTCTGGTAGAGACGAAGGAAGAGAAGAAGCTCCACGGGAAAGGAAACGAAAGAGGAAAGCTAGCGGTGAACGCAAAGAAAGGAAAGGCAAAGGTCAGAGAAGACGTAAGAAGGAAATGGCGAGTGGAGAAAGCGGTAAGCTTGTTATTCATTATCTAAGAGGATAAGATAATTCAAGATACAACAAACATGTTTTCAATATACAGGTTCTGAAAGCGATCGACCCAAACCAAAACGTGGAAGGAAAGCTGGAGCTAATAAGAAAGACAAAGTATCTCGAAAGAGTACTACCGAGACTATGAAGGGCAAGATGCCATTGTCTAAAGAGACTATTTCGACAAGTGAATCCGACAGTGATTCAGGAGGTCTTAAAATTGCTAGCGGGTAAGTGTAGGCCCATGTTCTAACGCTGTGAACTGATTGAAGTTTGGATACCATTGTTGTACCAAATACAATGGAGTAGCCAATTGAACACCATTAATTTATTTTGCAGAGGGGAAAGCGGTAACGAAGGTGGCCGTGCTCGCGGCAGGAGAATCAGATCCGAATCCGAAGGTTCCCGTGCCTCAGGATCTAGATCTCGCTCTAGATCGAAATCCAGAAGTCGTTCCAGAAGTACTTCACGATCGCGTTCACGATCAGCTTCACGATCGCGTTCTCGCTCGCGTTCCCAATCTCGATCTCAGTCTCGGTCCGTCTCGCGATCTCAGTCCCGCTCAGTGTCGCGATCTCGGTCCCGGTCCAGGTCCCGATCAGGCTCAAAATCGAGAAGTCAATCGCGATCGAGAAGTCCGTCGAGATCAAGATCAGGCTCAGCCAAGAGCGGATCTCGTTCAAGATCAGGTTCCAGGTCCAGATCTGGTTCAAGAAAGAGTCAATCTCGGTCAAGGTCGCGTAGTGGTTCAAGGAAAAGCGGATCTCATCCGCGATCGAGATCAGGATCGGCAGCTAGTGGATCGAGATCGAGATCGGGATCTCCCGTTGGTTCTGGGAAAGCTGGATCACGGTCGAGGTCAAGATCAAGGTCTAGAAGCGGTTCGCAGTCGGACGAACGAAAATCCAGAAGCAAAAGCCGATCGAAGTCCAAATCTGTGTCGAGATCCAGGTCACGTTCCAGGTCAAAGAGCGGTTCACGAAGTCGAAGTCCCAGTGGTTCAGCACGGTAAATAACGTTTGAATCATGCACTTGCCTCTGTGATGATACAACTTTTCATCATTTATGATCTTTTTGTTTCAGGTCTGCCACTCCAGAATCCAGGAAATCCGTTTCGGGCAGCGACGTTGGTTCACGTCACTCGAGTTCAGATCGAGGTGGCGGGAGCGAGAGCGAGTAAATCCAATGTTAGAATTGAAATAATTAGCATCATTCGCGAAAGGTTCACTTTAATTGTGCATTATACACTTTTGTATGGATAAAGTTTACCGATGGTAATTCTCGCGAAACATTTCACAACTCGTGCTATATTCGGAAAAAAAGGATGCTTCGGAGCGATCGCTAGATTCCGCGAAAACAGTTGAGGATTCTAGATTACGAATGGTTCGATCACTTTTCGAGATTATCAAAGTATACATGCGGAATGAACGATTTAATGTGAACGATGAATTTTTTGTCGTTGTAAGTCTATCGATTCACGACAGATTGTAATTTTATTAGAGGGATACGATGATTTCACGTGTAAGTTCAATTTATATAAACACTCGTTTTGCTTCATCATTAGTTTGTTGTTGATATTTTGTACAATAAACAGATAGTTTTAATTGAAAGTGCACATTTAAGTTGATTTAATATTAAACGAAAGACAAGTTGTAGAATATCATTTTTTTTTTTATTACATTAACCAATTGTAATGTAAACAATATATAAGGTTGGTTAACAACGAATAAATTGTTTTATATAAAACCACAAATATTGAACCAGATCTCTTCGGATTGGTGATACCCATTTGGTACATATTTTCAGGTTAACTTGCACACATCTAACCTAATCTGATATTCCTAATATAATTACTATATGAAATGCAGAACCTGACGGAGTGAATTAATGTCGAGACTGTTGTAATTAGTCGTTAATAATTCGATCGATTCGTGCCGTTTAATGGTTTATCTAAAAGTTATTTTAGTTTGTTTTCAAAGCAATGGCTTATACAGTTAGAAATATATCCGAACACTGTACATCGATGGGACTATCATTCTATTGTAACGTTCAAACCTTTGGATAGACATAATCCTTAAAGTATACGTTGTACCGCAGACAGAAATTCCGAAGCAGTTTGCAGAGAAAGCAACAAAAAACTGGGATAGGATGAAAGAAAACACAATGAAAGCAAGGAAAGGATATCAGTTTTATCCAAGGTACGGAGATTCCGAGTGCTCGAAATGTTTACCCTTTCGATTCAACTCCCAAGAGTGTGGATTTATTTCTCTCCTCTTCGTACTCGACAGAAAGACCTTCATCCTCGTTTCTTTTTATCCTTAAACATCGTTTGCTATTGTCCGTTCTTATATAGACCCTTCTCGTTTAATTAACTCGATAATAATACCAAATAGCCTCGCCGATTTCGACGGTAATATATTATATTTCAACGACAAAAGTTTTAATTAGGCTTCAGATATTTCTCGTTATAACAGTGCATGCCAGACATTGGAGAATTATTTGCTTCCTTGGCGAGTTCGAAACTTGCGGAAGAGAACTATTTACCATCTCTCGAGTACCTTGAAAGTGGCTAAATAGAATAGTCTCGCGACTGCGAGTTTTCATTGGTCATGAATTTGCATGTTTTATCTGCTTGACAAAGCGTTTACAAGAAATTTCTGCGAGTAGTAGATGCAATTGCTTTACTATCGCTGTGTTTTGCATAACGCATTTTTGAAATCCTTATTCACAGTCTCAGTTGTTTCAAAGTTGTCGAACGAAGACTACATTCGGGAATAGATTTATTCTGTTACAATCGTGCCGTTGTAAATTGAACGATTCTTTTTATTTCTGTTCGTTAGAGGAAACGTTAAACAACGATTGATGTTTCTATCCACGATCACAGTTTTCGTCGAAACTAACAAACGTGATCACGCTTTTGAAAGTTTCTATGAACTTTTTTTCGAACGCACAGAAGCTTGACTAGCAAATACCGGAAATAACGAGCCAGTATTCATCGTTCGATTTCACTCGAAACGCGAATCAATTTAACGACGTCGATTTCGATTCAACTTTAAATTAACTTTATGCACACACTGGACACATGTGTCCGAAAGTAATACCGACAATATTTTATCTTACAACAATTTAGCTTTTAATCTGGACGTAAATCTTCCCCGTCAATTTTGCCTCGACAATTCATCAAACAACTGCACGAGGATTATCCCTGATCCCCGCCACGACGTTATCTTTTTTTTTTAATTAAAAATATAATCGAACACTGTACTTGACCGCTTCACGGGCGAAGATAATTGAAAAATGTTTATGGGACACAGATTCGTCCATTATTCATGAGACAGGATACTCCCATTACGTTCCCCTACGACAATAATGAGTTCACGAAATCCAAGGAGCTTGTGCAACTTGCAAGCCCGTGTTCGACCTCGTTTCGAAAAGATGCGGAATGCAATATTTCTTCTATGCGAAGGGGATCGAGCGGTGTTATGCAGACGCCAGTGACCCACTTATAAATCGAAGAGTCTTCAAAGATGTGTGTTCTATTCGATAACCTCTTCTCGCAGACTTTACTAAGCGTGTGGGTTCGATCATTTTTTGTTCGTTCAAAATTAGACGGAAGTTGACTGAACCCTCGCAGTGATGTAACTACAATTTTTGTCTGGCATGAACTCTTTATGACTAAGTGACTTTAGAAGTCATGACTAAGTGGAAATTAGAATATTTGGGAAACAGAATTTGAACAGACCCATATTTTAGTGGTGATAGGTGAACTAACGAACACGTGTAACGTTTCACGAAAAACAAAATACCTGGAAGGTATAATTCGTGAACGTTTAATTAATTATACAAACCTACATCGTGAAAGTTAGACGCTTTAAACTAGTTCGTTTACACGTTGTTTCAATTTCGAGAGCGTGTTTCAAATTTTCCACCTTCAACGTAATTTCAAAACGCGATTAATATCGTACCTCTGATGAAGGTTTCGAGTACAATTACTCGAGGAAAAATAAGAAGAGGAATGTTAGAAGGAAAGACGAGGGTCATAGAGAGAAGTGATTCCACGAAAAGATGTCCCGCGCAACAAGATTCCTTTAAATTCAACAAATCAGCGGGAGAACTTGAAGATTAAAAGCAGCTCGCGATATTGCCTCTTTGCCGGTTAAAGTCGAACCACCGTGGAATATGAATTTCGTTTGTGTCTGAATCAAGCTGGAAATGAAACCGCGATAGCAATAAAAGCTAACAACTAATGGTAACAACAATTGCGATTCTATTTGCCTCGAAGGACAAGGAGCTCCTTTTATGGCGACATTTCGCAACTTGTACTAACGCGAAGATTCTTCTGTCTGCGCAAACTTGAAATTAATTATTACATCCCTCTGGACGAGTTTAGACTTCCGCTAGATTATTCTTTTTGCACTCCAGAGCGCAATTGGATAAAGTACCGTTTGCTAGTTTGCAAGAGAATTTAATTTTCGATTTAAAAATGAGGACTTAGGTTATCATTGTCGATTGGAGTTCCTAGTTTCGAATAATTTGTGATACATTTTTCAGTACCAAATTGCGAAATGTGTAGAAATGACCTGATACTTTAGGTCAGATTTATTTTTCGTACCCTAACCTAACCACGTTCATTCACGTAACGATGACATAATACGTTTTCAAAAGGACCAACGTAATCCAGTAGCAGAGTGCAGTTACGTATGCAAGAACGCTATCCTTGCAAGCTTGCAATCAGAAGTTTATGTACGAACGTTGATTCCTTCGCGTAATCCGTTATCACTGTCGTGGAAATGTATAGGAAGGCTTTACTCTCATTCAACTGAAAGCTGAATGTAATTAGACAAATAATTCATTAGATTTCACGTTTCATTCGTAGAGGTACAATGGCAGTAGTACAACTAGTCAGACGCCACCCTTATTAGTAGTACAAACCGTAACTAGTCAGACAACTCGCGTTCCATAAGAAACGAACGTTGAAATATTATCGGCTTCCATATCGACGTTTATTATTGATTACCCCATGAATACGCATCGAGCTTCTATGAATACTAATCTTACTTAAAATTGAATCAGTCATAGAGCAAATATTGACGTGGTAGTTTTAGCGTGTAAAACTGAATATTCATTAGGTTCCCAGTAAATATCGAACAAAAGTCAACTTCCACTCTGGTATATAGAATAATTCTTTATCTATCGCAACTAATTTTAAACGACCTGATCGCAGTTACAAATCGATTGACCCGTGTAATGACGATAGAAATTCAACAGAAAGGTCAGGAACCGGAAGCTGCAAGATAATGGTCGAGGGAAAGATTGACCCACAGCGTTCACTGGCCGATATGCACACAATGAAAGGTTTAAGGTTACGGGAAATATACACCTTCAATTTCGAGCTATCGTAGAAACTGGCCAGCGTTCCCTTGTGTCGAATGACCATCGTTTTGACCCGATACTCTCGTTTTCCGAGAAGGTAACAGATATTCCAGTCACAATATCCCTAAACGAAAACATTGATCATTTTCGGGGAAAACATCGGTGCTAAAAATGTTAAACACCGTTATTTTCTGTTCGTAGGATTATCGTAATGTCAACCTTGCGCATAAATTGGTTTACACGAGATTTTCTTCGGCCAACTGCATCCACCGTGGAACTCGAATTTGCATTTAAAACTTTTCTTCGGGGAGTTTATGTGGAATATATTTTCGTAATCCATCCAAGTTCCCTGTGCCACGAATGAATTAAACAAAAACTTTTCATTTCCTCGCGAGCTGGAGAAAAGGAAATCGGATTATGCGATTTTGAAATTACGTATAATAAAATCAACAAAAATACCGTCGCACAGTCTTGTCCAGTGTAAGAAATGTGTAATTCGAGAAAACATCTCTGTTCCCAGCAGTCGCCATTTTGACGTTCAATTTGGCTTACAGAAACAGTCGAGTAAACGTTCGCAGAGTTTTCTCTAACAATTCACGGTGTCTTGTATCCGTGAAAGAAGAAGCAACTGTCGTGCTACAATATACAAAAGAAGCGTCTAGATGCAGCTCAATAGGAAACACGATAAAGCGACAGTAAATGTAAGAAGTGTTTTATGAGGACCGTGAAAAGAACAATGCTTCCTCGAATCGATCAACGACAGACTTCGTGAGAAAATAACATGCAATGATTCGATAGGCTATCGATTTTTTAACGAACTCGAAGCAGTTATTATGCATGAAAATTGATTTATCTCGTGATCGGCTGACAAAAATGACATTTATTCTTCGCGATACCAATTTATAACGAAAATAAGTGAATAGCTGACTCGTCGAATATCAACGAATTGATTCGCCTAAGAAGTTCATTAATAAGCTTCCTAAATTGATTGCCGGTTCGCGTCGAGCAAAATTTAATTTCCAAGCTCATTTTCATGGTAAATATCGCGTCGCCCGTGAAACGACTAGCGTGTTCTTTTGATTGAAATCGAAATTCGATTCCGAGCAAGAAAGAAAGTTCCTCGTCGACGTAACACAAGATTCATTCTTCGCGCATCGAATTCCATTAACTGCAATGTATGATAATCCAAAAAGGTCCAAAGAGTTTCTTTCTTTATAAAAGGATACATTCTAACAGTGTCATATAAATCATTTCAAAAAAATAATCACTGTGCTAATTAAAGTCGTGTTAAATCAAATCTTCGTTGGAATTATTACGAAGACTGTAACATTTGTTCAGTACAACAGTTCAAAGAGGAACAGTTCCATTTACATGTTTTCAAAAGGAAAAAAAATAGCAGCCTTAAATTATCTCTGACACAAATGTAGCAGGATGAGGTACAGATCGTGAAAAGTCTTTGTCGTTTGCTGATTCCAATGGTATCGTGCACCAGTTGCTTTCAACCAAAATTTATCACGCTGTTATTCTCCCGTTATGATGAGCAAACAGCACAATCGTTCGTGCTCGATAAAATCCAAATATTCGACACTCTTTTATGATGCCGATAAATTGCAGCTGCTCATTTGCATTCGGATGCTGTGAATATTCAGCGACCCTGTTTCGAGGTTAGGATGCTGACATTGAGTTGTAAGATTCAGTGTAATCGTTTTGCATTTAGTTTGAAGATATCAGTGATTGACACAAATGTATTATTCTGAGAAACTAGTATTAGTACTGAGAAACTAATGTTAAAATTAGTGCAACTTATAATTGCCTAAAGTGCTATCAGCTTAGGTCGAACTGTGTAAATGAAATTAAGAAGAGAAAAGTAGAGGCACTTCACGACTATTCGAAGACACTTTCTAATGAGAAAGAACGGCTTTATAAATCGAGCTGGAAAGTGGTGGTCTCTGTTCTTCTTTCTGTAAGGAAACATTACTTCCTCCGCATTATCCTTAGAGCTTTCGAATTTCGTTTAAATCCAAGGACTAATTATTGGGGAATAAATAGAAATCGATGAACTAGGGAGAAACACTCCTCGAGAGTGTCGGAACACTCTCCCTCGATAGAAAGAAAGGAACTTACGCTTTCACAAATTGGATTGCAAGACGCTCAATTCGGCAGAGAGAATTTTTCTTCCGACAAAAGACCCTTCCTGCGGGAAGATTACCCTAAAAATCTCACGATATTTAAACGCGGTTATAATAAAGTTCTCTGACACGAGGGAGACATACACAAGACTCAAAGGACCAATTATATTCGTACTAAAATTACTTCAAAATGCAAAGGGAAAAAGTTACAAGCCTCTGAAGCAAACTTTCAAATATTACACTGGAAAACAGCGCTCAAATTTCGAGCGCTGAAGGGCTCTCGTTTTCACATGACTGCCCTAACTTTCGCAAAATCCAGCTTGTGAAATTGCAAATGTCACTAAATGAAACGAAACGAAGCAGCGATTCAACCAGTAATGAATATCGGTTATCCAACGTTTCAGGCAACCTGAGCAAAAGACTGAATGTAGCACGATTTACATTCAGCAACCAGAAGTGTAAATTACATCCCAGTCTCCGATGCGAAATTCATAGCTGGCTGCAGTTGTAGATACAAGCACTGAACCTCTCATTGTAGAGTTCGTAGAAGGTAAATTCTCTTTGCTATTGTTTTTACTTAACGCCAAATAACTGCTAGATTTTTGTATCTGCGTAAAGTTTCAACGGAAGTTCATTATAATGCCAAGTTCCATACACAATTTCTGGGAAACGCATACCTATTCTGGTCCATGCAAACATTTTCATTATAAAAGACCACTATAATTGCCACCTACAAACCTATATTTACGAAAGGTCACTTGTGGCGTACGAAATTCGTTTAAAATGACATCTCTTTCAAGAGCGAGAAACAATTCAATTTTTTGACGACAAAGCAATTTCCTCGTTTATTCTTTTAACATGGGTTACTGTTTCTATTAGAATTTTGTGAAGTTCCGACAGTGATTTAATACGTAGCGATGTAAGGGGTTATTCGTTTTAGAAAACGTTCACAAGTATCTTTAGAATGTCAATAACACGCCACGATCGACTTGGTCGTCATGACACTTTCCAGCGCTCAACCGTCAGTAGTTTAACAGCTTTAAATTATAGCTGTCGGAGGTAAAATCGATACTGCTAAAAGCTCGTTCGATTAACTGGTTCATTACTGAGAATCATCGCTCGCGAAATTACAGAAGGATGCTCTTTTTATGCCCGCTAATCCTATATTGGTTTAGTTCGCCAAGTGCATTTATTTCATTCGATCATGGAACTGAAAATTGAAAATTCGATTTAAAAATTTGTACAAGACCGAACATTATAATTTCTCGTTCGTGTAATTCGTTTATCAAGTCTCCAGACAATCAACGTAGGATAATTGCGTTTACGTTCTTTCGCGGAACGTGAACATTCGCTTTGTGGAAAGAAGTTCCGTAAAATCGAATAACAACGATGGAGTTCACAATAAACCATTGTTAGCATCCGGTCCAACTTCGAATTAAATTCATATCGAGAGTTCCACCGATGGTTTTATTCAACCTTGTAATCAAAATTCAGCCGCGTAATTCGCTGTTAATTGTACACGCTCGTCTTTTCACGGGTTTGAATGTTATCGACGCTGAAGAACCATTGTTACGATCAACGCTGCAACTTCAATTTCAACTTTCCTCGGGTCAAACCTGACTCCGTCGCGGTACTTAAGAATTTAGCGGCAACCAGCGAATTTCCAGGAATTCTTTTCTTCTCCGGAGAAAATACTGCGGAGAACTTCCTTATTACAAATAAAAGGCATTACGCGACCGAAAGCGGATTTCAAATATTTTTTTAACAAGCATTAGAAATAATTTTAACTATTTGTAGATTTACGTTTTCTGAAACAAAGAACCCCCATGAAATACGGCACAGATTGAATGGCGTTTTAATGATACTGCAATTCAACCTGAAATGCAAAACCGTAACTGTTCCGAAGACGAACAGTTATAAAGATCCTTTTACCTTAGGAACCTTGCATTATGCACCCCGACGCCGCGAACACGGTAAATTCGTTTTAACGACGCGAACGTGCAAACAGGTGAAATTAAGAGAAACTCGTTAAAGCTTAAGGGCACGCCGCCAACAAAATGGCGAGAACTGCGTCTGATCGATTCAGTTAAAATGGATACAATGCATATTTATGTTTCTAGATACGATCGGGAGAATTTGAATTTCAGACGCTTCCATGAACAAATTGACATGCGTTTCTTTTTGCATTCTCGACGAGTGTTCTTGATTATCCGTATCTGTTTTATACAATACGAGAGCAGTCCCTTTCCCTCGAGTATTCTAAATGTCATGCGGATGCACATTTTCCGCGAGATATTCAGCAAATGTGAAGTAAACGTTACATAAAAGTATTATGAGGATTATAAATGTTCGGAGCAAAATTTAAACCAGAATCATAGTTACAAGTTGATATAAAAGATCGAAGTAAATCCTTTGTCAATGCACATTTGCTCAGGAGTCGTGATAGGCATGCAAAATATGAGTGAGTGAGTACACAAGGTTTTTTCAAAGAACCGTAGAGATTCGAGAAAAGGGAAATAAAAAATAGAATACCTTTCTGGTTGGTCAAAGAGCTGTAAAAGTACCGTGGGCAATGAGGCTTTTTGGCTCTGTTTATCGAGACCGAAAGATTTAATGAAAAAAGGGATTGTGTCGGAAATGTGGTCGATAAAGTGATTAAAGTGAAAGAATAATTAATTACGTTTGCTGATTAAACTTTCCTATTTGCTCTTTCATATTCCCGTGCATCCGGATAGAATAGCAGCGAGGGCGAGAAATAACCTCGTGTCTAATTTTATCGAGCCCCGAAGCGTATGGTTGCCAATAAAAATGCAGGAAGGTTGGACAGGTTGAAATTTCAGGGGATGATTTAAACCCTTCCGGACTAAGATTTTAACGATCGACCGGTTCACCGCTCTTTTTCTTCTAACCGCACGGTACAACCTCGCGGCAATTTTCCTTGTTTCTCCGTTTTACATATTTCACGGAAGAATATCGTCCGGTCTGCGTGTCTTTCGAGGTTAGAGTCGAGAGATGGCCAGTCATTTTTTCGCCGATGTTCGCTCTATTATGGAACTATATTCTCGCAGCGACGTCCCAGAATGAACAATAAATATTTCTATGTTTTCACGCGGAGCAATATTCGCCAGCGAGTATAGTAAGGCTTCGCAGGCTCGAATTTCTTCTATCGAAACATTCGATTCGGGGGACAAAATTATTCGCACGGAATTGTGCCAAGGCGTCGCTCGGGAATTCACGAGGAATGAAAAATTCGTGAAATACGAAAAAATCGTGCTCCTTCGGGAAGGACGGGTTTTAAACATTCCGAAACTCTGTTCGATCCGTGAAATTTTATCCTGGCAGCGGCCGAGTTCCCAACCGTGAGAAACTCTGGAAACAGAAGGATTGCGTGTCGGTCGAGAGAAGGGAGAATGAAAGTAAATCAATTAACCTACGACCTACTGGATTTGACCGTGCAGATTGCGGGGAATTCGTAAGCGGTGCGAATCCTTTGTTTAATACCAATGAACTTCCTTTGGGAACCCTTTTATTTAACTATGAAAACCAAGCGTCGATATATGACACGTTATTTACCCATAAATTAATGAATTTCGTATTTTAAAATATTTCAGTGTTCCACATTGAAATATAATGGAATAATTCGTTATCCAAATAATCCCTTAAAATAAGGTATCCAAAATTGTGGCGCAACAGATAATTCTACACGTTAAAGTAATGTTTTAAAACTTGTGTATATCGACAGAATAACCGCGCATTTGCGGAGCGATGTTTAAAAAAAGACTTCACCTTCCGTTTTGAAACCCAACAGAATTTATGAAATGTCGCACCATGGCGGATAAAAGGAAATTACACGGGAGATCGGTTAAAATCGAGGGAAAAATCGATCTAATATCCCGAGGATCGTGAGGGAATCGTGTCTAAGGTCAGACTCACAATCACAGGGCGTATCAGTGAGAGCGTCTCCGTTCTGCGCGTCACGCTATTCGCTGGCCGAAGCGGAGGGGTGCATTCAGTCTGCTTCGAGCCGCGACTGCGAGAACTTGCGCTACGAATTGTGCGTCCCATCAAAAACAAACTTGCTCCGGGTTAATCCCCGGGAACAAACGAACCGAAATCGTTGATTCGATCGAGATATCAGTTCGATAAACGGTACCGGGAAGAAGATCGTGCACCTCCGCTCGCGCCTCGACGATCAGCGAGCGGGGAATTGCTTTGACATATGATACCGACGGAAAAGCGGGAAACCTCTTGCTCCTTGGTCGACATGAATACACCACCTTTTCTTCGAGTCGAGGTAAGTCGATTTTCTTCCTCCGGTGGACATTTTACCCTCTTTTGACGCGCGCTTCCGGTGCAATTCACGCGCGAGACAGTCGTGATCTATTCGGTGAACTGCGCTTCGCGTTTTTTCCAACGATATTTCCGCGATTCTTTCAGCGAAATTCTTTGAGAAGCTTTCAAAACCCGTGTTCGCTCATTGACAGTGAAGCTTTCAGCCACGGTTCTTTTCAATCTACTTTCAAAAGCATTTTTCCAATTACCAGCTTCCCCTGCAGAATTTAGATTAATACGAATTGTTTTTACTACTTTCGGGAAATAGGTGGGCTGTTTCCAGATGTAATAGAACATCTCGGATTCTATTCTGAGTGGGTAGAGCTTATGGTACGAGATAAGAGTCCATTGTGGTAACCTGTTAGTACATTTGCGTCCTCAGTGAAAATGGCCAAGAATTATCAGACACTTCCGAGCATTAATTATCAAAAATATAGTCATAGAAGATGTACATAATTTTCCTCTTAATCGACCCATTTAATTTTGATAAGCGGTCTATTGTCTACCGAATGATCAATCGAGCGATAACTCACTCTTCAGCAGACAGCGAATTAACAATACCCGAGATATTTGATTTATTTTTTGGTCCCTCTACACAAAACACCAATTCAATCTCCCAGCCCCACGGTGGTTTCAACTTTTCTATGGGATTAAGCGCGATTTTTCGTCGTAATTAAACTATCTTTTTCGGTAAAAAAAATATCAGTTAAGGCGGCTTAATGAAAAGAGATAAATGTCTTGCCTTGTAATTATACGTTGTGCGCAAGACGGTTCTTTTAAAGACGTTTGTAAACGGAGGGAAAGAACTTCTTGGGCGTTGACCCCATTCTTGATGCTCTTACAAAAGCCTTGCCCCAATTGCATTAATTTTCATTGGCGGAACATTTTCGTAGCTGAGCTTCAACGAAAAGTTGGGGCTTTTTCGTGACGAGACTGCAGGGTTTTGGGATTTAAACTGGGCCAAGAACGTGAAACGTTTCGTGCAATTTTTGAACCATCCGATTCTAAAATATCCCTTGCTTTCTGGCATTTTTCGTATATCGCCATGCATATTCAGAGAAATTTCGATTACCGGCGATAAATATAAGAAACGACTTAAACTCGCGTAATTTCGTCGACGGTAGACAATTCTTCGTTTACGACGAACAGCGGACGTATTTTCATCCCGTATCTTGTAATTTTCTCGCTGCAACGGGTAATTGAGTTTAATCGACCAGCGTGCAGGAAGAATGAAGAGGACTAATAAAATTCTGTTTAATGGAACAGAATGAAAAATATGGCTGCAACAGGGGTATTTAATTCTCTTGCTATGCGGCCAATTTATTGTATCGATACATTTTCAGATACACTTTAGACGTTTATTGTTTCAATTACTCTTTTCGGGCAAAAATTTCGTGGTCGAATTTTCTTGTCATCGTTACGATACCCTAATTAATTTTTCCCCAACTAATCTTTGTGTATCGATTTTCATTTGTTTTCGAAAGAAGCTCCCAGATTACGAGAAAATCGGCCTCTCGATTCAATCCTTTCAGACCCGTTGAAATTGTACAGAAATTACTTAACTAGAAGTCGAGATAAAATTACGACGGAAGATACGAAAGGTATAATTTTCTGAAAAGGCTACCGGCTCTTTCGCGTGTTCGTTTTGCAGCAGCTTTCCAGAGGACTCGATTAATTCAATTTTTTTTCGTTTCGTCGGTGAAAACGGAAAACGCGAAATCTCAGCCATCACTATTCGCGTAACATCGTAAAACGTGCGCTCGTGACCCACGACAAATTATACTGAAAGGCTCCCGTGATATCCGTAGGTCTCATAACGAGCTATCCCTAACGTCGCCTTTACAATCTGCGTGTTGCGAGATCGTTTATCACTGAGCTTTTTAAAGGCGCTCCTTTGTGAACAAAATTTCGATTCCGTCTGTCAAGGATCTTTGACAAAGTCCCTTTCGTTAGCATTTCAATTAAAACGCTTCGTAATGAATTTATGAGAAAATTTATGAGTTACATTGATTACCGATACCGCCTACAAAGAGCTGTCTTAACACAAAGAGGATTAACGTAATTCTTTTAATTGTTCGGTACGTTAATTACTAAAGAGTTGATTAGCGAAATTTAATCAAACAAAAGATAGGAATAAACTTTCATTTACGTTACGACTTTTAACTCTGAAAGTAAAGAATCGATTCATGTAATTATTTGTCAATTAACGTCAGCTCTTATACCAACAATTTTCAAGTTATACGGAGTGAAATATAACATCTTTTAGATTAAACGCGTTAGAAGGAATATTCATAAAATGTAGATCAGATACACTTTAGACGTTTATTGTTTCAATTACTCTTTTCGGGCAAAAATTTCGTGGTCGAATTTTCTTGTCATCGTTACGATACCCTAATTAATTTTTCCCCAACTAATCTTTGTGTATCGATTTTCATTTGTTTTCGAAAGAAGCTCCCAGATTACGAGAAAATCGGCCTCTCGATTCAATCCTTTCAGACCCGTTGAAATTGTACAGAAATTACTTAACTAGAAGTCGAGATAAAATTACGACGGAAGATACGAAAGGTATAATTTTCTGAAAAGGCTACCGGCTCTTTCGCGTGTTCGTTTTGCAGCAGCTTTCCAGAGGACTCGATTAATTCAATTTTTTTTCGTTTCGTCGGTGAAAACGGAAAACGCGAAATCTCAGCCATCACTATTCGCGTAACATCGTAAAACGTGCGCTCGTGACCCACGACAAATTATACTGAAAGGCTCCCGTGATATCCGTAGGTCTCATAACGAGCTATCCCTAACGTCGCCTTTACAATCTGCGTGTTGCGAGATCGTTTATCACTGAGCTTTTTAAAGGCGCTCCTTTGTGAACAAAATTTCGATTCCGTCTGTCAAGGATCTTTGACAAAGTCCCTTTCGTTAGCATTTCAATTAAAACGCTTCGTAATGAATTTATGAGAAAATTTATGAGTTACATTGATTACCGATACCGCCTACAAAGAGCTGTCTTAACACAAAGAGGATTAACGTAATTCTTTTAATTGTTCGGTACGTTAATTACTAAAGAGTTGATTAGCGAAATTTAATCAAACAAAAGATAGGAATAAACTTTCATTTACGTTACGACTTTTAACTCTGAAAGTAAAGAATCGATTCATGTAATTATTTGTCAATTAACGTCAGCTCTTATACCAACAATTTTCAAGTTATACGGAGTGAAATATAACATCTTTTAGATTAAACGCGTTAGAAGGAATATTCATAAAATGTAGATTCGAACGACAGCAAAGATCTCGTTTCATGAAAAATTTCTCCAGGGAGTGTTTTTTTCACAGCACTGAAGTAACATTTTTCACTTGGCAGTCAAAAGAGGAAATGTTCAGAAAGAGAAGAATAAAGAGGCTCTATTCACGAAATCTTAAATCCTTGCATTCGCGCCTTCGAATACGAGATGGCTGACACGTGAAACGCTTTAACTACTGCGGCAGTAGTGTTTCGTAGCGATTCGTCACAGCTGCTCGCGTCCGGTCTAGTCTGACATAAAATAAGTGTATTAAGTTCTATTTTTGTGTGCCACATCGATCGTGGAACACGATGTTGTACAGTGTCTGTCACCTATCGCATTTACGGGCTGAAAACCGTGATCGCCGAGCCGAGGAAATCAATTTTTCGAGTATTTTCTCGTTTTCAACTCAGGCGGATTGAAATTCGCGATTGAAACGCAACGTTGAACATTGTTTCGCTGGCAGTGAATTCAAAACTTTTGACACGACGCTAAAAACGAGGCTCGGTTAGGTGAACATGTGAAGTTTTGATTCGTAAAACTTTTAATTTATATAGGACGAAATTTCAATTCGTAAATCGAAGTTTTATAAGAATATTAATTTGCGAACTCCGTTGACATATGTAAGATGATATGCCAGTGACATACGTGATCCAATGCGAGGCTACGAAGCTAATTAAGACGGATCGTCGTAATTCTACTAATGGCACAATTGTTACCATACGGTGTTTCTCATATGTCGAAACTTGGAAACCCAGGTTTACCTTGAGCATTTTCTCAGACCCAAAATGCTTGCCGTATCCCGAGAATATTATGCAAACTCGGTAGAAGAAGGAGCCGTGACGAGTTTGCTGATACGATTATCCTGTCCGTTTAGTCGCGACGTTATTAACATAATTGTATTTGTCAGCACCTCGCAGAAAGTGGCCATCTTCTCTAGACCCGTTGTTACGGGTCTTTAAATTGAACGTTCCTAATGGAAGGTTATTTTTCCTTTGCAATCTTCTGGAGAAAGGAGACTGTTGCTACTTCGTTGATATTGTTCTCGATATTCTATGCAATCCATCGTGGAGTACTTTGAAACTTTTCGTTCTAAATCACTCTGCCTCGAAGTTCACTTGATTTCTGTAAGGAAATTGCCTGACTTTCCAAGAATTTGTAGTTCGGAGCACAATATTCTTATTTTGTAGGGGCGCCGAAAAACTATATGGTTGTGAATTTCCGTATGAATGCACTGGAACCACTTTGGTATTGTCCTGGATTATAGTATAGTTCTTTGTAACCGGTGTACGCAAGGGTAGGACAAGATTTACGTTGGATTAACGTTGTACTATCCGTCTGAGTTTCCAGCAATTCGAAACTGGATGGGACACATTGCACTTGACTTTGCTCGAGTATCATTTACTACAGGGATGTCTCAAGGATGTAGAACAATGAAAGGGAGATTTGCGTTTGAGAAAATTTATTATTAAATAGGAAATTAATCTTCAAAAAGATCCTGAATTCGATACTTTCCTGCGCCGGGGGCTCTTAGAACAGGAAAGCCTTAACCATCTCAACTGTCCAAAAAGTAATTCAAAAAGCATTCAATCCATCACTTCATACTTACTACCATAAAATAACCAGAAAACACTGGAATTTTCGATAGTACCTAAACAGAGTTTCCATCAGAATGATCCCTTTCA